CCATATTTAATTACTGGAGGGTGATTCTACCATGTGGTTGCTTTTTCAAACAGCCTCACAACCTTCGGACAATCAATAAATATCAATAAGTTATAGAGTTATAGGGGGACATTTAGGTATGGATCAATACCTATTAATACCATTTTTAGGGGTACCAGCTATTTTGATGTTCACCAGGGGTACAAGGTTTTGACACACTGCCATTTGTACTCGGCTCTAGGGCATATGCTTGCGGTATATGTCGATGTGCATTCGAGCAAGCGGCTTATCCTCTCGCACCACTCGCGTGACAGAAGCATGCGAAAGGCATCTGAATCCACCAAGACATGGACAGTCTTAGATACCCTGCTTTTTCTTAGTTGGTTTGTATGTGTATATGTATATATGTATTGTGTGTACATATATATATATATATGTACATATGTGTGTATATATACCTCCCCACTTGTAGCAAAAGATCGCAAAAAAATACACATACCCCACAATCCAAGGATTATCCAGAAATAAACCAACAACTGAATGATAATAATAATGACCATGCACTAATAGCAACAATAGTAATAACAACACCAATGAAATAACATTCATAACAATAATATTGATAAGAATACATTCAGAATGCATGAATAATAGTAGTAATGTAATAGTTATAATCGTAATAGTAACGCTAAATTCCCAAATCAGAAACAACCAGTCACTTCTGTGATGACTTCCCTCACCAGCTGGCAGTTAGGTCACTCTACCCTGAGGCATGTTGGTTATTTCTTTCTGCCCGAGTTCATCCAGGATTTTTCAGCTAACCCTTGCCTGTTAGAAAAAAATCGGGGTAACCGGGTACCGTTTTAGTAGCAAATGATCACTATTTGTGGATGTCCCAAAATGGGGGTACCCCCGATGTATCCCCCTTGCATCATCCAAGTCGCCCATGACTTAGTATTGAAACCCATGGTGACTTGGGGACCTCCCCATCAAGAAACCCCAGGAGTAACCCCCTCCCATCCACCGGGCTTCATTACTCTTAGACAGCATGGAAACCAAAAACGTCTACCCTCCGGTAGGCCAACACGGCTGGCTGGGAAATGCCCGAACGAATACGGAGGCTTTCATGGAAAAATCATCGAACCAATGGTGAATTTTCCAGCACGCCATGTTTCATTGAGGCTATGTCCAGGAAAAGTTCGAATACCATAAAATGCCAGGCAAAAAGGGGTGTTTGTCACCCAGTAACGCAAAAGTGACGAAAGTTTTGGATAGAAATTAATCCCCCAATTAGTTCGGTGTTTTTTTCCATTACATTCGTAATATTCGTAACCATTGTAGATTTTAGATTATACGATACCAGACCCGGTGTCGTCAGCCACACGTCTTGCTGGAAATTTCCCAAAAACCCGCCATGGCTTTGGGGAGAATTCCTGGCCACATGATTGGTCCATTAGTATTTTCATCCCATTAGTAATGGATTGGTTTAAGGGAAAGTCTACAGGAAACCATAGATTTTCCCATTAAATATGGGGCTTTCCTGTAAATTGTCCCTTAAACCAATCCATTGACATTAGTAATGAATGTTGACAATAATATGGGACAATCATTTGGATATGATAAGTATGAGATTGATGTGGGATTAGTAAATTATATCCAAATGATTGTCCCATGATATGCCATTATATGAATATAATGTTGATATAATCCCAATAGGATATCCTAATAGTATATAATGTTGATTGATCCCATTAGTATAATTGTCCCATTAGTAATGAATGTTGATCCCTTGAATCCCACTTATTCATCCCAATGATTACGGATGGTGCCCGGCCTGGTAAACATACAAAGTTCGCTATTGAACATGGCCATTGAAATAGTGAGTTTACCCATAGTTATGTTAGTTTACCAGAGGGTACTGACTACTGGGAATATACTCGGGATTATATTCTATAAATGATTGATTTACCCATGGCCATTGAAATAGTATGAAATAGTTGATTTACCCATGTATATCCCAAAGAAATGATCCTCATCAACCTCCCCATGAATCTTCCCATTCTTTCCCAACGCTGGCGCTGGGAGAGCCAGACTCTGTAGGTCGATGTCCTCCATGTCATCCATGACGGCACCCACCACCGTCGTGCCTCGCCCCGCGCAAGCGGGAGGGGATACCCTCTGGTCAACGTTTACACTTTGCGAACTGGAAAATCACCATCTTTAAATGGGAAAATCACCATCAATAGGTGAATCAACGCACTAAATGGGTGATGTTCAATATCTACGTTGGTTTACCAGAGGGTATGTACCCACCTCTTTTTAACATGTCATGATAGACGTAGATGGACTGAAAGGGACGGCCAAGCACAATGAGCTCCCAAAGTTGGCATCATAAAACTCACTGTTTCCCCTGTTGACAACCCTTCTTTCTTGGAAGATCCCTCTGCCGCTGAGTGTCCCCGACCCTCATCATGCATCACCATGGCCCCACCATGCTTGGACGACGATTTGAATCGGCGGACTGGCGCAGTGGGACTTTGCCACTGCCGGCTGGTGGTTTCAACTGTTTCAACCAATCCAAACAGCATTTTTCGAGTTTGGTCATCCTAGGTAGGCCGGAAACAACTTCACAGTTCAAAGCACAAACCAGGGGAGCTGTCTTGAAACAGGGGACCCAACAAAAACCAGCTGTTGTTCCTGTCGTGGTCCCTGATGGGTTTAACTTGTCACTGGCCAATCTCATTTCGGCCAACGTTCACTGTGGAAGTGGTTGAAAAACCTCATTTGCTGATGGGCAAGACCGGATACATCCCTGAAGTTTAGGGCTGGCACCCAGACATGAGCTGGGACCCAATAGAACAAAACCTCAAAAACATCTTTGACGGCTTCATTTTTCAGGTGCTCGGGTTTTAAGCACTTGAGGTCTTTTTTATTCGACCCGCGTGGTCAGAGAAAGCCCACGGCTAGCGGACACAAAACCGAGCCGTGGTTACGTGGAAAGTCAGTCGGGATCACCGTCCGGGCGATTTCTGGACCGTTGTGAAAAAACATACCCGGCCGCTTGTAAACATACAAAGTTAGCTATTGAAAATGGCAGAAATAGTTGATTTGCCCATGAAAATAGCATGGTGGATCTTTCCAGGTCGTTATGTGACAGTTTACCAGAGGGTATGGGTTGCTTTCATGGGAAAATGATCGAACGATTCCCGGTAGATGTTCCAGCCTTGTTTGATTACTGGAGGGTACACATGATACAGGACCTTCCTATCCAATGTCATGTTACATTGTTACATTACCAGTTGGTTATATACCTTGTTTGATCTGGACCACTTGTGCGTGCGAGATCAAAAAATGACATGCTTACACACCTCCATTTTTGCCATGACTGATCAGATCTAGTTCGCGTGAGTGTGTACATATATTGTTTTATTTATTTATTTATTATGCATATCTATCCATGTCTGATAAATGATATTCTATATACAACGTATCCATGATTCATAATCTCTCTGTATATATTATGTATGTATATATATATGCATTTACGATGATTTATATCAATGATCCCAACGCTGTTCCTCCTGGATATCCTCCCCTTTCCCACAGTCGCGGAGATCGCTTTTGATTTCTTCTCTGTCACCACAGAAAGGGTCACGTCTGAAGGGGGTCTGTCGTACTCCACAAAAGCTGTAAAATCCTATTGGAAGAATGGATAAGAATGGTAGATGATTGAAATGGTGGCACCTTTTCCATCTTTCTGTTGGGCTATACTGTAATGTTTCTTTAGTGGTAACATCAGACTCAGACACGTTTTTGAAAGGGGTGGACAGACACACATGAGATACATGTGTGTGTGTGTATCTAATTCCAATTGTTGGATGCATGTCCATTCATGTATCTATTGTATCCTATTGTGGGGTTACTTCCAATTTCAAGCAGCAGTAAATACGTTTCCTCCATTGGAATTTCCAAGGAAACCATCATCTACGGTGAGCTTTGCAGTTCTGAAGCCATCAACATATCTCAGTACAACTGGCTGTACAACTACCATGTCCATCCATTTCCCAGGCTCACCTTCTGGTAATTGGACATAACATAACTATGGAGAAAAAAATAATACATCATGTTTTATTCAGTAAGTCACTGAAGTCCATGGGCTATCTATAGCAAATATCATGTAAATAAAATCAGAGGGTAAGGATGACCAACTCTCCAACCGACATAGACCCTGCCAAATAAGGCCTTGGAAGATTCGTGTTCACTTTTAAATAAATGGCTTATTCTCAGGGTCTATAGCAACCCCGACAAAAGATAGAAAAGTGAAATTCTACGGAAAATAGTGACAAATGACTTGTCTATATTTTTTGGGGTGGTACTATATATATATAACATTACATAGTTATACATATATATATAACATATGTTCATTTCGTTCATTTGGGGTAGGCTATCACCCACTATGCCCCATGATACCCATCAGCTCCCTTCTTCTTCGCGTGGAGATTTTCGCGCTTGCCGAGGTTTTCACAGCAACGATCCAGCCGGGCAATCAGGTGTTCACAACAGGAATATCATGGGAAATATACCCTCTGGTAAACATACAAAAAGCTATTGAAAATTGCCATTTATAGTTGATTTTCCCATGAAAAATTGTGATTTTCCATAGTTATGTTGGTTTACCAGATGGTATATAGAGAAAATACCATGAAAATGCCCTATCAATGGAGGTTTTTGAGTGGGAATATCATGGGAAAACATGAGAAATATAGAGAAACTCCCCTATAATTGGAGGCTTAATAATCAGAAAATCATCGCAGTAAATGGATCTAAATGGGAAATGATCATGTAGATATCCTGGACTTCATGAAGGTTTCCAAAAATGGATGGAGCCCAAACATCCAAAGTTTGTCAACGGGGAAACCAATGGAGTTTTGGGGTCCAATTTCAGAAAAAAAACACCACAGATCCTTCGATCTCAGACCCTCCTTTGCGGAACCACGAAAGATCAATGCCTCAGAGCTTCAACCTTTCATCCGCAAGATCACTAGCTCCCAAAACAAGTCGAAGAGAACAGACCTCGAAAGATCGCTTTATTTGGAGGATCCCAAGAATCGGATTGTGACTGTGGTGACGAGTTCCCGAAGCCTATACAAGGGTTACCCGGCCTGGTAAACCTACCAAAAACGATGGAAAATCACCATTTATAATAGGTAAATCAACTATTTCAATGATCATTTTCAAGAGCTACCTCAAATTACCAGAGGGTATGGAAAAAGATGGGAAAATCTGGGATTTCATGGTAGATGTATCTATATATAGTTATCTATGTATCTCATATTAATCAATGGCTTATGAAAGCCCAGCGTCACTCACCAGTGATGATGACCTATTTGGGTAAACCTACTGAGAAAAAGATGTGTCAAACCCATGGTTTCCCAAGGGGAAAATGATCTGCACAAAGCCCTGCAGTCCTACATATCTTGCTCCGTTTGTCACCTATTGTTCAATTGTAAGCATCATAACATTGATAGATATTGTACATGCAAAGAAATACAGTTTGCACAAAAATCAAGCCTATATATAATCATCGTATACATATATATATATATATATATGTATTCTATCATATCATATTATATCATATCATATTATCTTATATCAGAATATATTCTATCATATCATATCATGTTATATTGTATATATATCATATTATATACATTCCATTACGTTACATTACATTCTATTCTATTCTATTCGATTCTATTCTGTTCTGTTCTATTCGATTCGATTCTGTTATATGTATATCATATTATATTATAATGCATTATAATGCTGTGTAATAATATGTCGTATCGAATCATATCATATTCTATGTATCTTGGTAAATTACAATATTTCACTAACCTGCAGTAAGGCTCTATATATATGTATATATATATATATTGGGAATGATTCCCCCAAACCTATCTATGATTCCAGGCTTCGGTCACAGTGAGGTTACAATAATTTGCCCAGATGTATCCCATATAGTAAACCCCCCATATAATCAACCAACAAGCGTCATGGTGAACATCTCCCAACGGAAAATCACCATGGATCATCCCATCATATCACCATTAGATCACCATTAGATCACCATTGATCATCCCAAAAAAAAATCGCCATAATATCGCACTATTCAATCCCATGAATCACCAGTAAACCACCATTCAATCAGCATTCCCATGAAATCAACACGGGGGTATCCATTGGATTCTCATCATTTTCTGACAAAAAAAAAATGGGGGGTATACATGGCTATACCTTAGCATGGCGCTCTACCACGTTTTCTTTAGAGGTATTTTGTCCAAGTTTGGGTAATTATTGTCCCTAAGTTTGGGTAATTATCCTGACAAGCCATTTATCTGGGTAAATTATAATATTTCACTAACCTGAATAGTGCGGCCATTTGGGGATGATTCCCCTTATTAACCATGATTCCAGGGTTCGGTCGAAGTGAGGTCGTGATGAAATTTACCCAGATTTATAGGCAATTGTTCAGACCTTTCATGGCTATTTTCCTTCTGGATGATCATCCATGTCCAGACAAAGCCTTTTTTCATTCTTGTCATGGACTAAATATGATAGGACTTCATGGACTCAATATGGTTTTTTCCATGAGATTTCCCTATTAAACATATAATGTTCCATCATTTTCTAGACAAGATCTGGGTCTGTTTATCATCATGATCACCACAAATGGAAACCCATTATCATTAATGGCTATTTCCATATCATGTTTACGTTTTTTTTCCCATAATTTTCCATATTAAATTGCATTTCCATAGATTTCTCATATCATTTTGGTTTTTCCAATGATTTTCCATGAATTGCCCATGATTTTCTATAGGTGTTCCCCTATTTATTAATTGGTTTTTCTCATATCATTCTTGTCATCTCCATTTCTTGCCCAAGACACCGGTTCACGAAGCACGCCACTCCCAGCACCGCTGCCCTAGGACCGAAGAGAGATCGCCGCGTTTAGGAGATCTTCTAAGTCATGGGAAAATCGTGGGAAACTCATGGAAAAGTTGGGAAAATATGGGAAAAAACATGGGTTAAAAGGGAATATCATGGGGAAATCGTAGGAAAATCATGGGAAAATCAACTATAACTGAAGGTTCTTAATGGGAATATCATGGGGAAATATTGGGAAAATGATGAAGAAAACCTACATATTGAACTAAATCGGGAATTTTCCAGCACGGCATGCTTGATTACCACGTGGTACGTGTTTTGTCACTATAGTAAACCCAAAAGATCTCACAGGTTTCTAATTTATTATCCTTTTAGTCGAATTGTACATGTCTAGTCTTTTCAGCATGCTATCCTGTCAACTCTGGATTTACGTTGACCCCTGGTGACAGTAGACACTTTGATGGGAAACTTCGGAGGGAGGATCTGATCAACACAACACGAGGCTTATCCAATCATAAACCCCATTGTTGCTGAGGTTTATCTAGAACATGAAAACACATGTCACTATATTCAGTGCAGTAGTTTTTTCTCGGGCTACCATTTCATGTTTTTTTGGACACCTTCCCCCTAGACTCCAAGCCTTTCCACTGGACACTAAGTTGTTTTTTCATTTGTATGGTGATCCATCTTGCCATTTCTAGGTACAGTATATGAATGGAAAATACAAGTAAAATTCTCCCTGCACGAAGCAACCGTCAGCCCAAGGGGGTTGGACATTTGACGTGGTGGGACATGTGTCGTGCTGAAATTTTCAAGCCATGCAGGACCGACCCTTGTTGCTGCTTTTCCCAATGGTAACCGTCATGTTTGATGGGGTCGGCAACGAAACAAAAAAGGCTCCGAATTGATGGGCAAAGTCCTCCACACCACCTTCACTCCCATGTCTTGCTGCAAGAATCCTCCAGATCCATCCATTGTTCAATCCATTTTTCCATCATGTTCTCACGTGCTTCCAAAATCCCCCAGTTGTTCTCAAGAAACCACCATATCCACTTTTCATCATTTTTCCCCGTCTAAAATCCATCCCACACTGAGGCGTCCCACAGGGTGAGGAACATGGGGTTCTGCATTGCCTCACCCCAGGTGGCGTGTTTTCCTCCGGTCCTCAGGCTGCGACGTGCCTGGAACTGTCCCAGTCGTGAGGCTAAACCATATCAGATGATGTACTGTGTTCACTTGAAACGAATTCTTGGAATGTCACTTTGTTCAAATGATTTGTCTAGAAACAAACCATGTTCAACCAAGGTTCTAGGTTCTATCAAACCAAATGGAATCAAATCCCCAGGCCCCTTATCTGGTTGGTGCTTTGTAGTCACCACATGTCACCACCCATATGGGAACATTTTGAACCCTCTTCTCAGGTAGGCACCGAAATAACCTGATTTTTTCTTGAAGCGAGCCACCAGAGACTGTGCCATTTCCCTTTCCGAAGGAATATCTGGAGTGAGGATCTGAACTGTGGGGATGGCCAGGCGTGGTGGGTGTGTGTCCAAGTGCTGATGATGATGATGATGATCTATCACAAAAATGTTGATGTCACCATGTTTGCTTTGTACACCACAATAGAATCATTCAATTTCGCTGGCAAATACTGAGCATTGTGTTCTGAGACAGTGAGGAAGTGTCCCGTTTTTGCAGGTCCTCAAAACGAACATGTTAACACTGGTTCTTAACACCCATTTCAGCGCGAAATTGTGTCTCCAGGTCTTGGAATTGGTTTAATTTCGTGCCATCCTAAACGAGGCCCAAGAAGTCACCCCCATCCAAGCAACATCCGGTTGTAGATGTACATTGCCAGCTCGGTGTCCTATGGCTGCACCCTTGAGGCTTGTCATCCAGCTCTCAGATAGGTCGTCCGAAAGTGGAAGAAAAAATGGAGACGGAGCCGATCTGTCGAATTGACCCGAAATGGGAACCAACCAGTTTTGTTCCGTGAAAGTAAATGATTTACCTATTCCAAATGTTTTTTGCCCATATCCAAATTGTTATTTTACCAGAGGCTTGATGTTTACAGTGTCTCGCGCCGTCAACGGCGAGCCCGGGACAGCAGTCCCCGTGTTTGCCGATTCAATCCCAATTTCTGTAGCTGAAAATCTCTGTTTTTTTTCTCGAAATCGAAGTCGAATTTCGGCTGATGAAATCGATGAAATCCATCCACCACAACAAACACCACGGCCCAGCAGGACTGGGTGCTCCTTCTTGTCCGCCAGCGTCATGGGTGTTTGGCCGTTGTGCATCTTTAACCTGTCGAAAAACCACAATCAGAAGGGCGATAAAAAATAATGGTCTACTATTGGGTGGGTCACCTATCCCAAAAGGTGTTTTTTAATCCTGATGATCATAAATATTGTCCATATAAAAATTATAAGAGAATTATCCGTGAAGAATAAACTGTTAATTCATCGTTAAATCCATAGGTAATTGTACAATCATATTTGAATGGGAGTTTGTTGTCCAGGGCAATGACCCAAAAAACGTGTCCGTTAAGGGCCTATATTTATCTAAATGATCCAGTCAATCGTCTCAGGAACTATCTAAATCAGCTAGTTACAACTGATAATTATCTCCAGGATAAGCAGGTGGAAAACAAAACGACTGCCGTTTTCCTATGATATTAGCCTGAAATGTATATGTTTTAATTCTGGGTTGGCTAAATGGAGGTTTTAACCATGAATCTGGGCAAATTACGATAAATCATGGTGACGTACGATGGAACTCTATATATATTCTGGGCAAATTACGATAAATCATGGTGACGTACGATGGAACTCTATATATATATATTAATTATATATATATACCGCATTTACACATATATATTTTGATATAATGGAGATTCACTATCACAACTGATAACAATCTATGACACAACGAGACGCCCTCTGAGCAAAAATCACCAGTTTCAGCACCTCGGGGCCAAGTGGTCCCAACAGCCGCCAGAAAACCATGGTGAATGTAGGGGATTGGTCCCACATATGGAACCACTGGGGAGTGAACCACTGCGAAAGAGTCCAAGCGGTGACAAAAGTATGTTTTAAAAATGGTCGGTTGATGATCATATCGTGATGTGTATGTATATATATACCTATACTATACACGTATATACATATACATATATACATATATACATATATACATATATACATATATACATATATACATATATACATACATACATACATACATACATACATACATACATACATATATACATACATTACATTACATTACATTACATTACGTTACGTTACGTTACGTTACATTACATTACATTACATTACATACACACATACATACATACATACATACATGCATGCATACATACATACATACATTCATTCATTCATTCATTACATATATATATATACATGCATATAAATATATATAGCATATATATATATACATATATATATACATATATATATACATATACACCATGTATATTTACATGTATATTTACATAGTATACATATATTATATATATATATACATATGTGAATTCCAGGGTTCTTGCAAGCGTTGTTCATCCATAGCGGACCTTTTGGCCGAAGCGCCCGCTGGCAGAGAAAAGAACCGCACTGAGGGGCCTAGGAGGGGCCCCACCGTTGTCGTCATTGGTAGCGGAGCCCTGCCTGGGGCCCGCAGGATGAGCGATGACAAAGGGTTGAAACGCTTCAATGGTGAAGCGGAAGATCCTGGAAAGGATTTGAAAAGATGGAAGGCCTGGGCAATGGCCAAATGCATGACCATGAAGGACCTGAAGTCACATCAACGAGGTCCTTGGCTGTTCGCCTTGCTTGATGGAGCTGTATTTGAGACAGTGGAACACCTGTCTCTTGAGGAGATTGCCGTCAAAGATGGCCACAGGAAAATTTGGGAAGCCTTGCACAACCGGTTCCTAGAGAAAGAGAAACATGATCAGATGGGTGAAGCCTTGGGAGAAGTGTTCTCGCTGGTGGCCTCGGAAGGCGAGAGCAGTAAGCAATGGACTGCACGAGTCAAAGAGACCTTTGAACGTTGCCGTCGAAAAGCCGACACTGATTTTCCCAAAGCTGCCAGAGGATGGATCACTTTGAACTGTGTTGGACTATCTGAGCAAGCTCAGGGAAGTTTGGATTTTATACGATGACATCGCAGCTGCATTTCGTTCATGCTTTCCTGCCTTCAAAGCCTCTGGTTCCAAAGCCCGAAAACCCATCGGTGCCCTGATGGTGGATCCGGATGACGAAGGTGCTGGCTTGCAGTCAGCATCGCTCATAGCTGGAGAGGAAGATTCCTTTGCTGACGTGGAAGTGTTCCTGGCCGGCTTTTCAGGTGAAAAGTTATCTGAAGAACTGTCAGAAGGGGAAGCTGCTGAAGCTCTAGCTGTCGCTTGGAAGGATCGTAGGAGGGAGATTCAACAAGTGCAGCAGTCCCGAAAATTCGGGTCATCTGCAGCAAATGCTCAGTCACGAAAGACGTTCCGTGTGGAGATTGAGGAGCTCAAGAAGCGCACGAGATGCAAAAAGTGTGGAAAGATTGGACATTGGTCCAGAGAATGTCGAAGCACCACGGTGTCAAACCGAGAAGGAGCTGCCGCCAGTTCCGCTGCCAGTCCACCTCCTGCCTCAGCTGATCTGGTTCAGCTAGATGTAGCTGATGATGATGAAATCACCTTTGTTGGAGCAGCACAAATCGAGACTTCCCGGAATGTTTTCTCTGCAGGTCTGATTTCATCTCCTGGATGGGGGGGTCATCGACACTGGATGTGGTAGAACTCTCATTGGATCTGACACGTTGCAGACATTCAACAATCTCCTGAACAAACATGGCCGCGCACCAGCAGTGGAGCATCCCGAGAAGAATCGTTTTCGGTTTGGGAACGGTCAGGAAGAACTTTCTGAAAAGGTGGCCAGAATTCCAGTGGCCATTCAGGGGAAAGTAGGAATCATAGATGCAGCCGTGATAGCAGGGCAAGCACCTCTCCTTTTGGGTCGTCCAACAATGGAGAAACTGAATGTTTGCTTGAACTTTGAGAGACAAACTATGAAGCTGCCGCAACCTGCCATCGAGACAGCCATGATCACAAATGATGCTGGACAACTCCTGGTGGATTTGATGCAGTTCCAGCCCAAGTCGGCCCAGATCTAGCAACCACCGTCGCTGCCATCCATCGGAGCCAATGACCAGGTGCCACAGGCAGGGACCGATGAAAGTACTAAAGTCAAAAAGAAGGTTGCTCTCAAGAAGAAAGAGTGTCGTTGCTTAGCTGCCCAATTGGATAACGCTGACTACAGAAAGAATTCCGAGTTTCAGGTTGCTGAATTGTTTTCACCTCCTAGGTTCACGCTGGAAGTTGAGAAACATGGTGGAAAAGGGTTGGCCTTTGATATCAAACAGGGATGGGATTTGTTGAACCCCAAAACTCCAGACCAAGTTGAAAGATTGTTAGATCGTGCAAGACCCGAACTGTTAGTTGTATGTCCAACCTGCACGCATTCCGGTGGTTGGGAGAATCTCAACCAATACTACAGGACACCCCTGGAACGTGCTCGACTGATCCGCAGGAACCGTGCCAGATTGCGCTTCTGTGTCCGTCTGATCCACCGACAGCTGCAACGGGGTGGTGATTTCCTGTTAGAACATCCGTGGCCTTCTCAAATCTGGAACTCCCCTGAACTTCAGTCCCTCAAGCGTAGATATGGAGTTTTTAGGGTTGACATGTGTGCCTTTGACCTGAAATGCCCAGAGTCTGATCTGTTCTTCCTGAAGGGAACCGGCCTCATGGTGTCTAATCGTCAGGTTCCAGGCCGTCTTGAACACATGTGCAGGTGCCCCAAGAGTCATGAGCATCGCCCCATTGAAGGTCAACTGCGTGGAGGTCAACGTGTTAGTGATTTTGCTGCCACCTATACCCCAAAGTTTGTGAAGACCATGCTCAGAGCCTTTAGGGTAGGACAACAGAGCCACCATACCACAGCTGTCAATCTGCATGAATGCCAGATGGAATGCCTTGCCGCAGACCTGGCTGATCCGAGCGGCTGTGCTCCTGATGCCGAAGGAATCAAGTAGGGAAGATGATGCCAAGATCAAGGCCACTTTGGCCAAGCTGCATCGGAATTTAAGTCACCCCTCGACTCAAGACATGTGTAGGATCCTTCAACACAGTCGAGCATCCGATCGTGCCATCCAGTTGGCAGGGCAGCTGCAATGCACCGTATGCCAAAATCGCCAGCAGCCGAAAAGTGCACTCCCAGCAAATGTTCCACATTCCTTTCAGTTTAATCATCACATAGGAATGGATGTTAAATATCTTCAGGGTTGGCGTCCTAACCAGAGGGTCCCATGCGTCAACATTGTCGATTACGGAGCATCAATGCAGGTAATGGTGCCAATCTATGCCAAGGAAAATGCTGAGGTGCTGAAAAAGACCTTGCGTGATCAATGGATGTCATGGGCTGGACCACCAGTTCACCTAACCACACACCCAGCCAAACCAAACATCAGCGAAGCCATGAGCGATTTCTGTGAAAACTCGGGAATCACTATGCATCAGATTGTTGCAGATGCACACTGGCAGTTGGGGAAAGTCGAGCGTCACGGCCAATGGTTTTCTCGAATTTTTGATCGAGTGTGCTCTGAGGTTCATCCGACCAATGCTGATCAGTTTGCCGATTGTGTTGCACAAACCCAAATGGCTAAGAACAGTTTGATCTCACAGTCTCACAGTCAGGCGCCAGTCCATGTCAACTAGTGTTTGGTAGAAACCCTAGGATTCCTCAAGACTTGCTACAAGACGAACCTCATGTGACAGCCTTGGATGCAGTCGAGACAGATGACCATTTTGGCCAAACGCACCTTAAAAGCTAGGCCCAGAACACAGGTTGATTTTCAATCAGGGGATTGGGCGTTTTACTGGAGATCTCAGAAGTGCCAATCCGGTGTCTTGGAAAGTGGTGGTAAGTGGCATGGAGCGGCAATGGTGTTGGGCAGAATTGGCCGAAACCTCATCATTCATTGCCCACAGGCGTCAAGTGCTGAGATGCGCTCCTGAACAACTGAGGCATGCTTCTTTTGAGGAACGCACAGTGGTAGAATTCCCGGATAACGAGCTGTTAGGAATCAAGAACCTTCTGGAGCGTGGTCATTTTCCTAAAAGCCAGTTCACTGATGTTGTTGCTGAAGAACACCCTCCTCAGCCACAAGCCTTGCCATCACCAAGTGCACCAGAAGGAGCACAGTCTGCAGCAGAGTTGTTCCATCAATCCCGCGAGATCCAAGAGCCTAAACAGGCTCCCCGAACAGCCAATAGAGCTGCAGACTTCACGCCAGGAGAAATGAGTGTTGAGGGACCCGAGATAGCTCCCTCGAGTTCTACCTATGGCCCTGTGAGAAGAAGATGTACAGGTAAACAACCGGATAATGTAGTGTACAGACCACCTGAAATGCGTCATGAAGACTTATCCGACCTGTTGAATGAAATAGCCATAGAGGACTTAACTAATCAAGCTGGTAATCAAAGGGTTAGTGATGAAGCCATGAATAGTCCAAGGGGTACTAGCTGGCTGTAAGCGTGAAGCCAGTGCTGAAGCTGCAGGTCATGAAGATAGCCGTCCCAGAAATTCACAAACATTTATTCTGCGTGCCGTGCCGTGAGATCCCGTCTTTTGATGTCCTCATGTCAGCCTTTCTGCAAAAACGAATGCAGAAAGAAATTCCACCCGGTGGCAAGGATCCAGCACTGCAGTCTAAAGTAGATGAAGCCAAGCGTGCCGAGTGGCAGACTCTGTCCGAAAAACCGGCAGTGAGAGTGTGGACTGGTGCCAAGGCGCAGCAAATCCTGACCAAACATCCTGATCGTTTTGTAGGTAGCCGCTTTGCGATCGTTGAAAAGTCTGAAGATCAATGCACAAGAATCAAGGCTAGATGGTGTTTACAAGGCCACCTTGACCCTGATTTCCGAGAGAAAATCACGAGCGGCCTGTGCCACAGTCCTACTTTGAGTCAACTGGCTGGAGCACTGATCCTGCAGGTGTTGGTGTCCAAAAAGTGGACAATGTGCCTTGGCGATGTCAAAGGTGCATTTCTGGAAGCTGGTCCGTTGGATGCCAAATTCAAGCCCCTGTACGCTAGACAGCCTGCTGGGGGGATTCCAGGCATAGATCCAACAGCGGTAATCGAATTTTTGGGAAGTGTCTATGGTGCTAACGATGCCCCCTTGAATTGGTGCCATACTTTCGACCAGGCAGTTTGTGAGATAGGTTTTGAGCGTGGCCAATTTGACAATTGCCTCTACTTCCTCCGTGATGAACAGAAAAACTTGGTAGCGATAATGGGGGCACATGTTGATGAGAGCACTCCATCTGATAGGACCGGGCCAACGGCTACTATGCTGGATTTCGACAGAAAATTCTAAGCTTCCACCAGCTGCCCAGGATGACAACTCATCCAAATAGCCAGCCCAACCTAACACCTCTTCTTCTCTTGTCTTCCAAGTTCCTACTGGTGTTGGTGCCTGTGTCATCCATTTTTCGCTTTTGGCGAAGACATCCAATTGCTGTGAATTTCCATGATTTAATTGTTGAACACCAAAACCAGGCAAAACATCAAATGGCTGCGGAGTCACAAACGACGAATCAGCCCTACCAAGACTATCACCAAACACTTCTGGAACCCCTCTTCTCTGTTGCATAGTCACAAAACGATCTTGCATATGCTGCTGCACTGTCTTGTGTTGTCGGTGTTTGCTTCGAAGTGCCAGGGTGAATGTCATGCCTGAACGGCTGCTCTCTGTGATCTCGGGGATCCTGGCTGGGGGGATCCCTGGTTTCCGCATTGAGCTTTGTTGCTTCTTACACCCTCTGACCTGGCCCTTGGTGTTTTTCTGTGGTTTCTTTGTTTTGCGGTCCCATATATGAGAAAGCCGTGAAACAACTTCGTGCCAGATTTCCGTACCGGAAGTGGAGAGTCGGCAGTGGAGAATTTTGCGGAGTCCACTATGCTCAGAACCCTCAAAGCTTTGAAACCAACTATCAGCAGTCAGAGTATGCACGACATCTCAGACCGATCAACATGAGCCGAGAACGGGCCCCTGACAAACAGCCTTACACTTCTGAAAAGGAAGTCGCAGCCTTGCGAGCAATCAATGGTGCAGCAAACTGGGTAGCAGGCCAAACACGTCCAGATCTCTGCGTTCAAACTTCACTCAGTCAACAATGCTTTCCACGGCCCAAAGTGAAAGACCTTCAGTTTGCCAACCAGTTTGTCCACCGTGCCAAGCAGTACAGCGATGTTACCATTCATGTGAGACATATCCCATGGGAAAAGCTAGCCATATGTTTTCATTCAGATGCAGGGTTTGCCAATGCCAAAGGAAACTCAACTCAGGCAGGATATATCCTAGGCTTTGTTGAAAATCACCTCGAACGTAATGAACCAAGCAAGTGGACCCCATTCTGTTGGAAATCCTACAAGCTTCCCAGGGTAGTGTCATCAACTCTGGGAGCAGAAGCCCAGAGTTTCTCAACTGCATGTGCCATAGCTGAGTGGATGGCTTTGATGGTAACTGAAAACAGGTTAGGATCCTTCGATCTCCGAGCTGTGTCAGCCATGCCCAAGACCCCCATAATCTCCAATTTAAAACCAGAACCCAGATCGATAGTAGGCATCACCGATTGCAAGTCACTTTTTGATCATTTGACCTCAATGTCAAGTGCCTCGAAGGTTGAAGACAAACGTGTTGCAATTGATCCGGCCATTTTGAAGCAGTGCATGGCTCGCACCGGTCTGTCCGTAAGATGGTGTCCTGCAGAACTCATGATTGCTGATGGACTTACTAAGGATCAAATGGATCCAGCTGATCTGCTCAGAGCGGCTTTGGACGTTGGTGAATATCAGTTGAACTGTGAAGCATCAATCCTGCGATTGAAAAAGCAACAGCGAGACGAACGCAAGATGCGCAGTGCCACTCCGCTTTCCAAACATGAATAAAGGGAACATTTTTAATAAGACAGTGGGATCACTATAGTTAATTGGGAATAACCATAGTGTGATAAGAGCTAGGTGGGCTTAACTCTTGTCTTGTTCAAGGTGCCAACAGCAATCCAGCGTTGTCCGCAGTGGTGTGTCCACGCTAGTTGAACGACTCAGCCATTTTTCACACTCAAAGTTTTGCGTTTAGTTTTCCTTGAATCTCAATAGTGGTCATAAGATGTCGCTGTCCAAGAGCACCAGCGCTGATGTCAAGCGTGACCAGGGCTTGATGTTTCTCCGAGACTTGAAGCAATCTGGAATGCTGGAAGATCTTTTGAAGGTCTTGGGCCAGGAATCGTCTGGCTATGCGACATCTGGATCAATGACGGATGCCGCCAAGCGTCGTTGCCCAGATGATTCTGCACCATGTGATTTCGAATTTCTTCATGATCCAATCGAGTCTGCAGTAGAATCGGCGTCAGCAGGTGTTGCTCAGCTCTCCATGCCTGTGATGCACAAGAGCATGGCGTCACCGATTCGCAAGCATGCAGCTGTGACCGACTCAGAGTTGCCTGACGGAGTCTCCACCTTTGAGGAGTGGGGAAGAGCTATTTGTGATTTGCCCAAGGTCAAACACCTGGAGATGTCATACCGTGAGTTGGTGAATCGCGCTGAGGCAGGAGATCGTGAGCTGACCAAGTATCTAGGTTGGGTGAAGGGTTTCAATGGAAGCTCCGCCCGCACCAAAGATTTCAAACGTTCCCTTTTGATCGATGATGCCATGAAGGCGTCTCCCAGGGTGTATTTTCCTGGTACTTCAGAGATTCGACGTGTCAAATGAAAATCTCATCAGGAAGGCTGGTATCTTGGATAGATACTTTTCAGCCATTTATAAAGATTTAAAGAGGAGTGTGAATTCCAGGGTTCTTGCAAGGGTTGTTCATCCATAGCGGACCTTTTGGCCGAAGCGCCCGCTGGCAGAGCAAAAGAACCGCACTGAGGGCCCCAGGTGGGGCTCCACCGTTATCGTCACACACACACACATATATATATATATATTAAATCAAAATGCTAGAATAAAATCAGATTTTACTATATCATAGTATGTTGAAGTCATATAATGCTACATTCCCTGAAAACGATATGATACAGAATGCCCATGTTACATGGTCCTAGAGGCTCATCAACCAACTCCAGGAAGGTCCTTCTTTTTCCATGTATCATAGGTTGATCTACCCATGTTCCAGTTGAAAATCATCATTTTCCACGCGAAAAAATGGTCATTTTCCCGGCGTACGGCCTGGGATTGGCGCCGACATCCATGAGCCGCGAGACCACACGCCTGGTGAGCAATGGCAAAGGCGTAGTTTACGCTTAAGTCAAGAACTATATGGTTTATAATGGGAAATCCCAAAGTAAAATGGATGATTTGTACCCCAAGAAGTTGGTTAGAACCTATCCATATGGTGGTTTCCATAAATGGGGTACCCAAAATGAATGGTTTTAATGGAAAATATATGAAAATATCAGGTTTTTTATAGTTAATACGTGGCTTATAGTTGTTCATAATGGTTGCTGATTTGTAGAGTTAAACCATCATATCAGGTTGTTCATCCGTCTTCCCAAAAGGGTATAAAAATTGATTTGGGGGTGCCCCCATTTTAGGAAACCTCCATATTAACGAAATTACCCTCCGGTAATCATAAAAATTCCATAGGTGTATGGTAAAATCCATCTATAAATTGGCCATTAGCCATTGTCATGTTGGAATACTGGAATACTGGAGTGTATAAGGAACATCTAGGTTTGTAGTAGATACCCTCTGGTAAATTAACATAGACCCTGAAAATCACCATTTGTTAGTTGAAACTAATCTTCCAACCCCTATTTGCCAGGGTCTATGTTAATTTAACAGAGGGTAATTTGCTCGTAAAACTGACCGATGTTCAAAGCTATATTAGTTTACTGGAGGATACTACTGTGGATGGTTGCGAAATCCTGCACCACCAAAAGGATGGTTGAACCCTATGAATAATGGGATAAATCATCTATCAACTGGTGCAGAAATTCTTCCATCCACACTAGGATTCCACTTGCTTGTCTTTTTGGGGGTTGCGATATGGTGCATCTCAAGAATTGTAAATGGTTAGGAACACACAATCCGGTATATCCCACAAATCACTGTGTTCTTTCACATGGTTCTTTCTTACTTAGCAAATGAGATGCAAATCCAAGTATGTGCTGCTATTTCAAGATGGTTTACTTATCAAAACCATTTCACGGTGGTTTTCAGCCATATAATTACTTTATCATCAGGGGTTCAGGAAACAAAAAGATATGGTTTTCCCAGCCCTTTCCACAAGATTCATGATCCAATAAGAATTATGGTGAAGTGTCAACATCTATGCTACTACTGGTATGTTATCTGGTTGGTGGTTGAGCCACCCCTCTGAAAATATGAAAGTCAGATTGGGATGATTATTCCCAATATATTCTGGAAAATATAAAATGTTTGAAACCACCAACCAGAAATTGTTTAAACCAAATAAAAGCTTACCCGGCTTCACCAATATGCTGGCAAGGCAAAAATTGCTACCAGTACTTTGCCAATATTTTGGAATGCAACAGCTACATCTACGACCAACAAATCTACAGTCAGAACAAAAAGACAACCAAATAACTAAAGTGTTTAGAACAAGAAGAAAAGCGAAGAGGGCCCAAAATGTCAAGTCGGATGTGTCAACATCAAGCTTTTGTTGAATTTTAACCAGACATTATGTTGGTGAAATTCATGGGATACACCCCATTCGCCATGACCCATAGGGATTCCATGTGAAATTTCGGGGATGTACCTGCAGGTGCAACATTGAGGATTCCCGGATTCGTCGAACATGAGAAATTGCAGAAAATACTGCGGTAGACCGCAGTGTTTTCTGCTTTCGGATTCAGAGTTTTCGGGGTTTTAGGGTTTGAGGGTTTTAGGGTTTAGGCCTCTTCGTCTGGTAAATACCAAAACACTGGCCCTGTGCAGGTTTTCTATCGCATGTCGTTTTGGATCATATTTGAACTCCATTCTAAGCTTGCGGGGAAACCATAGGGTCTTGCTGTAAAGGGTTTGTATCCCAACTTATGGGGCTTTTAATCCCATGCCATAGTTGTAGCCATTTGTTCATCTCAACTGTATCTCGAAGTCAACTAATTTAAAAGAATGAATCTTTATGGATTTCATGGAAACTATCATCACTTTTTTTCTGGCTTATGGATTTATATGGTCGGTCCACAACAAAATCACTATAGATAAAAACTTTCCCAGCTATATACAAACCTCCTTATTTTTGTCGATGTTCCCCTGGTTTTTCCCTATCTGGTCCCATGATTTTCCCCTTCAGCCAGCTGCCAGGAGACTGATGACCCTGAGCTGCGGCCAGATGCAGGGGACTGCGACCTCGTTCATCCTGTGGCAGGTGTCGACGGATCTCATTTTTTTCACCCGAAAAATCAGGATCTGACCCGAGAAACTGCGGGGAAACAGCTTGACATATTTGTTGATTTCGGATTTGACATATTATTTGACTCCAAACTGAGGATTCAGCTTGCAAACATTCGGGGAATCATGTGGATGTCTCAAACTAATGGTGATATTCTCAACCTCCTGACCCTGACAATCCTGGAGAAATCTGGATCGCAGCTCAAATCGCCAAACTTTCTGGTCCAAGATTGAGTCGAGATAGTCGAGTATCCCGGATCTCCACTGAACCGAAAAATGTTCATTGGATGGGAACGGAAAAAATCTGCAGGATAGCCCCATTGAAATTTCCTCTAGATGTTCCCTTCAACCAATCTTTGTCTCACCTGCATGTCGATGGATTCATCCACAAATTCGTGGTCCGTCAGGTATGCCACGGCCTGACTTCGGGATTCGTCGTAGAGGGAGCAAAAAAAACAACGGAGAGACTTCCCAAGATATCTTAGACATGGGTGTGGTACCTGAAAGTGGAGATATTCCGGTATGTATGCATGCATGCATGCATGGATGGACGGATGCATGCATGCATGCATGGATGCATGGATGCATGGATGCATGGATGCATGGATGCATGGATGCATGGATGCATGGATGGATGGATGGATGGGATGGATGGATGGATGTAGGTGTAGGTAGGTGTGTAGGTAGGTGTGTAGGTAGGTGTGTAGGTAGGTGTGTAGGTAGGTGTGTAGGTAGGTGTGTAGGTAGGTGTGTAGGTAGGTGTGTAGGTAGGTGTGTAGGTAGGTGTGTAGGTATGTTTGTAGGTATGTTTGTAGGTATGTTTGTAGGTATGTTTGTAGGTATGTTTGTAGGTATGTTTGTAGGTATGTTTGTAGGTATGTAGGTAGGTATGTATGTATGTATGCATGCATGCATGCATCCATGCATGCATGCATGTAGGTAAGTGGTTAGGTAGGTATATCATGGTATATCATGGTATATCACATATCCATGTTCGTTGCTTACATGGCTTAAATCCAACCCCAAAAGACTTCGGGTTGCCTCGAAGCGGCCATTGTGAGCAGCCAGGTGCAAAGCACTCTGACCTGGCAGCACATCCCAAAAATGTGGGGTGTGGTTACTGAATTACAAAGTCGTGCCTCTAAAATTGTGATTTACCTATATCCCAGAATGACATGGGTTTTTAAGCATTTTCAAACTGGGATGCACCTTCCAAATCCTTCCAATACAGGGCTGGGCTACACCCATAGTCAACATGGTTTTGAAGCACTCGGGATTGGAGTGAGCCTTTGGCACAGCCACAGACACAATTTTTGGGGATGAACGCGTGCACTGCCGACACAGCAGGAATTGGATGATGATCACTTGTGGATCTGATAATTACGAGGAATCCATACAAAATGGAGGATCAAGATTCAGGCTACACTGACCAATATAGAAAGGCAATCGAAACAATCAAGACCCGAAGGCAAGGTCACTCGATCAAGGCTTTGGTTGAACTCACGTCCGAAAGTCAAGCTTTGCAAGTTGCTCGGCAAGGTCACTCGATCAAGGCTTTGGTTGAACATATACCCGAAAGTCAAGCTTTGCAAGTTGCTCGGCAAGGTCACTCCATCAAGGCTTTGGTTGAAGTCCACTCCGAAAGTCAAGCTTTGCAAGTTGCTCGGCAAGGTCGCTCGATCAAGGCTTTGGTTGAACATATATCCGAAAGTCAAGCTTTGCAAGTTGCTCGGCAAGGTCACTCGATCAAGGCTTTGGTTGAACTCACGTCCGAAAGTCAAGCTTTGCAAGTTGCTCGGCAAGGTCACTCCATCAAGGCTTTGGTTGAACATATCTCCGCAAGTCAAGCTTTGCAAGTTGCTCGGCAAGGTCACTCCATCAAGGCTTTGGTTGAACATATACCCGAAAGTCAAGCTTTGCAAGTTGCTCGGCAAGGTCACTCCATCAAGGCTTTGGTTGAACTCATCTCCGAAAGTCAAGCTTTGTAAGTTGCTCGGCAAGGTCACTCGATCAAGGCTTTGGTTGAACTCATCTCCGAAAGTCAAGCTTTGCAAGTTGCTCGGCAAGGTCACTCGATCAAGGCTTTCGTTGAACACCTCTCCGAAAGTCAAGCTTTGCAAGTTGCTCGGCAAGGTCACTCCATCAAGGCTTTGGTTGAACATATCTCCGCAAGTCAAGCTTTGCAAGTTGCTCGGCAAGGTCACTCCATCAAGGCTTTGGTTGAACATACACCCGAAAGTCAAGCTTTGCAAGTTGCTCGGCAAGGTCACTCGATCAAGGCTTTGGTTGAACTCATCTCCGAAAGTCAAGCTTTGCAAGTTGCTCGGCAAGGTCACTCGATCAAGGCTTTGGTGGAAGTTATTTCTGAAAGTCAAGCTTTGCAAGTTGCTCGGCAAGGTCGCTCGATCAAGGCTTTGGTTGAACATCTCTCCGAAAGTCAAGCTTTGCAAGTTGCTCGGCAAGGTCACGCCATCAAGGCTTTGGTTGAACTGCCCTCCGAAAGTCAAGCTTCGCAAGTTGCTCGGCAAGGTCACTCGATCGAGGCTTTGGTTGAACATATCTCCGAAAATCAAGCTTTGCAAGTTGCTCGGCAAGGTCACGCCATAAGGGCTTTGGTTGAAGGTAACTCCGAAAGTCAAGCTTTGCAAGTTGCTCGGCAAGGTCACTCCATCAAGGCTTTGGTTGAACATATCTCCGAAAGTCAAGCTTTGCAAGTTGCTCAGCAAGGTCACTCCATCAAGGCTTTGGTTGAACATATTTCCGAAAGTCAAGCTTTGCAAGTTGCTCGGCAAGGTCACTCGATCAAGGCTTTGGTTGAACTCATCTCCGAAAGTCAAGCTTTTCAGGCTTTCGGGGAGGCTGCGAAGACTTGGAACATTGGTGCATCCTCCTATCTGCGTCACCCCATCCAACACAAGATGTGGCTCAGGGACTTGGAATCCTTGGAGGTATCTCCAAGCTGCGTATAGGTCTGTTGGAACATAAGTGCAGGACAGTCTTGCAGTCTTCCCTTCAATGCCTTGCTCTTGCAATGTTTGCTGGAGCATCAATGGTGAAGCTAGGTGGTAGAGGACCAGCTTTGCCCCTTTCTTCTTCGGAAGTTGCTCAGAGACCATCGTGCGCACTTCCAGGCCCAGAGTGGAAGGACTGAGGCTCAAGCTACACCCTTCACCATTGAGGCATAGCACATGGAGATCAATCAAGTCAACCAGCTCGGAACCAGCCGACCCCACATAGCCATCAACACTCGACATCCTTGAGGGATGTTTGAACCAGTGGAGAGCTGCTCAAAGTATCCCCTTACACAGGCCCCTCCAGCAGGGGGTTCCTGACATGGCCATCGAAGACATGAACCATCAAGGCTCCAACCCCCACGGAGTCAGCAACGCAGAGACGGGGGCATGTGGAAAACCGCGGGCTGAATGTTTATAAAAAAATAGGAATTTATGATTAATTACCCTTCAAATGATAAACATGATGATTTACCGAACCAAGAAATTGTGATTTAAATAGGGATATAACGTGGGTTTATTGTGACAGTTTTTGTGGTTTCCATAGAAATATATGTTTTATGTTGATTTACCAACTAAAGAAATGGTGAGGTTCCAGTTCGCTATGTCAAATAAACAGCCAGTCAATTTGGATCGTTATCCGATTCGTCGTGTTGAAAAAAAACTGCGCATCCCGGAGTTATGCCAACGTGGTGACCAGCAAAACCCCCCAAAAAGATAGAACAGTTGGAAAGCTGGATATGGAGAACACATCTACATCCTGGAAATACTCTATCTTTTTGAGATGTTTTGAGCCAGATTGCACTGGATCCTCCTAACTCGACTTGGCTTGTACAAGATACTATGGCAAGCCCCAAGTGAAGATCGAAAAGTACAAAAATGACGTGCGATTTTCGTGGCATTTGCCGTATGTTGCCATTGGAAAATGATGAAAAAATGCCGCGCCTTTCTTATTGAGATGATGCAAATCCGCTTTGGCATCAATCAGGGCTGCAATGACGGTCGTACCTCAGGCGACCGTAGGGTGTTTTTGTGTGTATGTATATATATATATATAGGGAAAAACAATCCCATGCCATGGGAATCCCAAAAAAAGAACGGGATTCCCGATTTTTGTGTCAAAATGGATTGATGACCATCCCCTAAGGTGGAAAATAGCTCATGTTTCGACCATGGTACAGGTGAAGGTCTATCTTTCAGAGAGTGCACTGGAAGGATTCAAGCCATGCACTGGAGATTAGAAGGGATTCATCTGTGCTAGCAGCGGATCAACAAACCACCAGGTGTCCTGAAAAGACCTTCCAAAAAAAAATAAAAAATATATAAAAAAAATGTTTGTTTGGGTCTGGGTCAACATGGGTCAACATCGATTTTGGACAGTCTTGGGCCAGTGTTAAACCATCTCATTTTGGTGCACCCAAATGGACTTACAGCAACCAGTGGCATGATGCATTCGTATCAATCGCTCTGAAATTTCTGGGAAATTCGCACTGATCCCACATGACAAGAATCCCATCCCCTTCATCTCAAACGCCCCCGAAATGGTCTGGGACTCCCAACTCCCAGCAAAGAAGACAGGCGATTGCCCGATCTGGCCGAAAAAAAACCACGGCGGTTCGGGGAACCACAACGATTTCTTCAGGTCCAACAACTTGGTGTGTCTGGAAAATCTACTGGGGAAAAAGGTGGGAAAAGGGGCTTCTAAACCATCCAAATTTGGGGGGTTCTCCAAACTGTTCGGGTACCAAACGGACTTTCTGAGGACCTTAGACCAAATTCCCCAAGCAGAATCTGGCACCAACCAACTGGCATCATTGATCCGATGGTCCAAATGATGCTGTTTTAGGAAACTTGACGGGTCGGTTTGGTATACAATTTCTATCGATTGTCTCTTGGTTGTAAGCATCTCTTCACCAACCAACAAATATAAAAAGGACATCTACCGTCGCAACTTCATGGCAACTCAGATTTCTGAGCCCATTCATTATATAATAGTTTGGTGCCACGCCCATGTTTATCATGTTTCTGCATTTTTCTGATATACTATATATAGAGATTGCCTAAAATTGGTGGTACCCCCCAAATCATCCAAGTCATAGATCACCGTTACTTAGTATTGAAACAACCATGGTGACGATTAGAGATTCCAGGGATCCCCCATGACTGAAGGGAAACACCTGATCTGGCGCGTTGGCATTGGCATTATGCATCAGGAGCAACTGCACCAGTTGGGCTGTGTCCTGCGGCCGGAGGAAAAAAAACATCATGACTGGATAGGTCTGAAGAGTTTATAAGCTACTTGGTTAACTATGAAGAGTTTATAAGCTACTTGGTTCACGATGGTTTATGGTACATATTAGTATTCACAGGGGTTCTAAACCAACTTTGCCATAACTATGGTAGGGCAAATTAAAAAATAATAATAATAACCAACTGCTAAACACTCAAACTTCGCCCCCTTGTTTTCTCCATTTTTTGTGGCCCAAGTTCCAAGTTCTGCCCCTCCAGTTCTGTATGACTGAACCACATCCTGGTGGACGGCGGTGTGCAACGGGGACACGCGTTTCGCATCCTGTTGGTTCACTTCGGCACGCGCCTGACAGATTTATCCACCGTCTTTCTTGGTCCACGGCAGGAATTGTGTTTGTGGCTTGTAGATGTGTATATATATATACATACATATATACATCATATGAGATAGAATTTAATGGGTTTATCATATGGAATATATACATGAATATATACATAAATATACAATGTACTGAGTAAGCGGATCATATGCATCCCATACAGTAGTCGAAGTAGGCTTAATCCAGTTGTATATAACTGGGCTTGTAAATCTCAAAACACGATTCCTATATTGACCCACCAAGTCTGGGGTTTGAAAATCCAACAAAAAACATCAAAGTCTTCAGCATGGAAATGCACCAGTGGTGTGGCCTTGCAATTCACACAATGATACGTACTAGAAGGCCATAGGACTTATAGGTGTTCCTGTTTTACTACCTCAATGATTCTGATTATTGTTTATTTGGGACAGTTCTGGGACTGGGACATCCCATGCTTTAAGCAATGCTTCTGTCCCTGCTTGTCCATGTGCGTAAATGTGGCCTTCCCAAATCCTATGAAAAGTCTTGGGGAACGCACAACATGTGGATGTCCAATGTTGGCGCAGGATCCGCGGTGCATTACCATTTTGGGTTCTGCCAAATCAGCGGCTCACGCCTGAAGAAGCTTCCGGGCCAACCTCGGATAGGACAGCCGGGCTCAGCCTATCTGAGATGTAGAGAAGACACCATTTTTTTGTAAACCAACCAGCCAACAACAATTGGAACCTGGTTTACCCATTTATATAAGCACCATTTATAGTCACGGACTATCATTTTTGAACGTGTTTTTTCCCGAATTCCCAAATCGCACAATTAGAACGTCCCCGATCATCTTTGTAAATATCACGTTCTAAGCCCTGCACTTAGAACGTCAAACTTTGCACGATTGGGTTACGTTCTAAGTGATAGTCCGCTGCAACCATTTCCACCCCTGCAAGTACTTAGGTGGTGACTGAAAATTCAGGATAATAGGTGTTGAATTTTGGAAAATTGGAAAACTAATTAATTACGAATACGTTCAGTGATAGTCTGCTGCAACCATTTCCATCCACCCCCACAATGACATGGGTGTGACTGATATTCGGGCCCCATGAGGAAGCGGTTTCTTCAGTGATGGATTTGCGGGACTTGTGCCAGTTTTCACACAAAGCCTACTATTCACAGGGAGTCTGCGCATAGGATCTCCAAATGCCAAATGAGAGCATGCATGCCACAGCATGCTATTAGACTATTAAAGGAGATATTGGTGGCATTCCAAGTGTAGGCTTCACAGGCTACATTCAAGCGTCCTAGATGCGATGTGAAAGGCATACCACCCGGAGGAAGTCTACGCAGAAGATCTCAAAATGCGAAATCAGAGCATGTATGCCGCAGCCTGCCTCTAGATTTTCAAAGAAATATGTGTGACGTTCTAAGTGTAGGCTTCGCACCCTATCTGCAGGGGTCCTAGACTCCTAGACGCCATAGATGAGGCATTGTAAAAGGCGTACCACTCGGACGGGGCCTATGCACAAGATCTCGAAGTATGATATTAAAGCATGCATGGCACAGCACCCCTCTAGATTGTTCAAAGAAATGTGTGGGACGTTCTAAGTGTAGGCTTCGCAACCTATCTACAACGGTCCTAGATGCTATGCAAAAGGCTCGCAAGCCAGAAGAAGTCTTTGCATGAGATCTTAAAATACGAAATGGGAGCATGCCACAGCATGTCTCTAGAGTGTTCACAGAAATTTGTGGGTCACCATTTCATCAATTGATTGCTGGTTTCAACCAGAGATATCTTCTTCATTGAATATCATATGATATCATCATCCCAATATGGTTGCAATATACATGATAAATGTCTGAAACCACCAATCAACAACAGTTTCTTTCAAGCAAAAGAGCTAAATTTCAATCAGCTGTCGCAGGGCCTAAGAAGTCAAGTCCATCCACCAGCAAGCAAACTCAGCACCCCACGGGCTAGATGTCTTTTAAACTCTTTTGAATCACTGCGGCATCTAACTTAGATACATTTAGATACCCTGCAGATAAATAGCCTGGCAATGGACATGTATACATATATATATATATCATCATATATCCATTCAATCCAATTCGAGATGACTTTTCCCATTGAACCATGGCGGAAAAAACCGATGAAACATCGCCTCACAGTGACTGGTGGCGAAAAACGATGTTCAAGCCATGGATGTCCAAGGTGAATCTTAGCCCAAGAAATCCAAACAATTCGGCATAGGAAAAGGCTGATACAAAGTACCTTTCACTAATCTTCACTAACAGTCACTAACACTGCTACTAATAGTCACTAATACTGTTACTAATAGTCACTAATAGTCACTAATATCTTAGCCCCAGGCTGATATAATCGTCACTAATAGTCAGTAATAGTCATAATAGTGAAAACACTGGGGATATAGGATCTAGGATTCCCATGAGAAACAGGATGATATTTTCGTACCTGCCCAGCCGCTTTCAGGAAAACAACTTTGGCCAATGATGGGATGTATTTGGAGGATCCTATGAATCGTACGTGGCGAAAAAATAATTACTTTACTTCGTGTGATCCCCACCATGACATTTATACATTTTGTTACTGGCAAATCTTCTGGCATTCTATCTGACATATTTTCTGGCATTCGATCTGGCATTCTATCTGGCATATCTTCTGGCATTCTACCTGGCATATCTTCTGGCAGATGTTCTGGCATATCTTCTGGCAGATGTTCTGGCATATCTTCTGGCATATCTTCTGGCATATCTTCTGGCATATTATCTGGCAAATCTTCTGGCATTCCATCTGGCATTCTATCTAGCATATCTTCTGGCATATTATCTGGCAAATCTGCTGGCATTCTATCTGGCAAACATTCTGGCACTTTATCTGGCATATCTTCTGGCATTCTAGCTGACATTCTATCTGGCATTCTATCTGGCATACCTTCTGGCATTCTATCTGGCATATCTTCTAACATTCTATCTGGCATATCTTCTGGCACTCTATGTGGCATATCTTTTGGCGTGGATACTCGCGGTTGAGGTCCGGCAGGGAACACTGGGCGTGGATGGTCGTGGTTGAGGTCCGGCAGGGAACACTGGGCGGGGATACTCGCGGTTGAGGTCCGGTAGGGAACACTGGGCGTGGATGGTCGTGGTTGAGGTCCGGCAGGGAACACTGGGCGGGGATGGTCGTGGTTGAGGTCCGGCAGAGAACACTGTGCGTCGAGGGTCGCAGTTGGACGAGGAGGACGAGGAGGACGACGAGGAGGAGGAGAGGAGGACGAGGCAGGAGGAGGAGGCAACTGACATAAAATCTAACAACCCTCACCTGGCAGGTGGGGAAAAACAGTCAGTAAGTCCCCGAAGTGCCCTCAGTGGATTATCCCATTTATAGAATATAATCCCCAGTATATCCCCAGTAGTCAGTAGCCTCTGGTAAACTAACATAGCTATGGGAAAACTCACTATAAATGGCAATTTTCAATAGCTTTTTGTATGTTTACCAGGCCGGGTAATCAGCCAGTAATCATTGGGTGTTTCATCAGTGGGATTCAAGGGATCAACATTCATGGATCTAATGGGACAATTATACTAATGGGATCAATCGACATTAATTATATACTATTAGGATATCCTATTGAGGGTAATCAGCCAGTAATCAATGGATAGCTTGGAACAACCCTTTGCTAAGCTCCTGCACCAAGTCCCGCAGCCAAGTGACTTCACGTTGCCGTACTTCCTAGGGAACGGGGTGACCGGGGGCAGAAGCCAATGTTGATCTGATGCACCTTGCAGAATCCTGGTGAAATCACCAAAAATGGGATCTTCAGATTATACGTATTTACATATACATATACATATACATATACATATATATATATATATTTATTTATTTTTATATTTATATATACACATATATATATATACATATATATATACATATATATATATACATATATATACATATATATATATATCCTATTGAAAAAGTGTTTGAACTCAGCAAATGCTTCAGTGGGATACATCCCATGATATGCCTGTTGAACTGGGCCACAGTTGCCCTCCCGCTATGTTTGATGACGATATCGGAAAGAAGCGATCCTGCTATGTTTTTGCACATCAAAACAAAAACTCACCTACATCCCCTCATGATCACCTTCATTCTTGGTTTCGAACTTGAAAAATCTCAATCCAAAGTCCTCTTCACAAGTGGAAAAAGGACGAAACGAACAGAAATATGCTCCAGGAAAAAACGGAATATCCCGGGCTCAAATGCGTCCATCCCAAAAACCAATAATTTGGGGCAACCAAAAATACCTCAAGATGGTTCAATCTAGTACGAGACCAATGATTTGGGGTATGGATGCCCCATTTTTGAACAAACCTGATCCCATTTTCTTCGCTATGATTGGTTCTATACCAAAGGCTACCCCCATTCCATCCCATGTTAAAACATAGTTGTCGCCTGAAAAACTGAAATTGACTAAGGCTAACTGCCCAAGTCTTTTGCACAATCCCTAATTAGACATAGTCTTCATAGTGTGAGCAAAGTATTGTTATATTATCCCCATTTAATTTGCAATTCAAATGGCCACAAATTAGGCGAAAAAATCGAACCCAAATCGTATTGCCGATTATCTATATATATATATTTTATAATGTATCTGCACCCCTAAAAAATCCTTGAAATATATACAACTATAAATATATATATGTATCCTTGAAATTGATAGTTTTACACCCAACTTAGTTGGTTTGATCCAATCTTTTAGAGACAAATCCCCCCCCAGCCGAGCGACGCCGCCAGCTGCAACGGAAAGCTGCCACTCTCCGAGGGTCGCGTGGGATCCGCACGGCTCTCGAGTAGCAGATCCACCTGGCAGAGGCTGAGGGTTGGGTGAAATGGGCAAAATCGATCTCTTGACATGTACCATATTATGTAATATATATATAATATATATATATATATATAATATATATATATAATATATATATAATATATATAATATATATAATATATATATAATATATATATAATATATATAATATATATATATATGCATACACGTAACTGGAGGGGAGGATACCCTACATATATATATATATGTGTGTGTGTGTGTGACTTTTTTCACGTGGCTATGAACCATTTGCAATCCCATCATCTTTGAATTATCTAATTCATCTCAAACGTAAACACCCTCTATAAAGCATGGTTTAGTAGGGGATGAAACCATATATATGGAACCATAGAATGGGGGTTTGCATTTTACCCTACACAGTGAGGCAGCCAATTGACGCACATAACTTGGTTCGCTAGGGTTTATGGGGAATATAGCTATGTATATATATATAATTATGTATATTATATATATAATTATATATTAGTTATATATATATATACACAATTATCTATATACATAAAATATACAGCTAGTGGGCTGTATACACCAACAAACATCACAATGGCCGGAACAACCTGGTCCTGTCCTCCCCACCTTCGAGAGATCTTGGTCCAGCTTCATGGCCTAACATCAAGCGCCAGGCCGAGTGGCGCCGATGGCCATTGAAAATGCCATATAATCATATGAAAATGCCAATGTCTGAAATATTGAAAATATAGTTTAATCATATGGAATCGTGTTTCTTCTTGATTTCCCCTGATTTTTCATTTCAAGCCGATGTTTGAGGTATTGATCATATAATCATATTGATCCATAGCCATTTAGCCATGAAAAATCAGGGGAAATCAAGAAGAAAAACGATTCCACCAACAAGACTAGGACGAGAATCAGGATTGCACTGGAGTATCTCTAACAAAAAGATGTGCGAAGGTGATGTTTAAACACTCCCCGAGTGGGACATACCCCCAGGCTGGCTGGATATCGGAAGTGTATCCATCTGTGTAATCGTGCATACACATGTGTGTATATATATATATACAATACAACATGGGCTTACAACCACAGATTCTGCATGGGATGATCAAGCTGTTGGTTCTGGGACACAAAAAGTTCATTGTTATTGAGATTCCTATAAGTTCATTGCTTATTGTTTAATTATACCCATAAATTGTCACTTATATTTGGGAATATTTGGGGATAATATTTGAGTATTCCGAAATATCAAATATCCTCCAACTCAAGTTTGATTCCACATCTGAATCGTCACCCCACACATAGGGACATGCACCAACTGACTGCTCAAAAAAAGGTTCCTGTCGCATCCAAACACCCGAGAACGGTCAGCCTCAATCCGGAAACGCAAGCCTCTTTTGCTTCAATATCTGTTGGGGAACCTGTGAAACAAACTAAGCACAGCCTGCACAACTGACAAAGACATTGCATGATAACTCGCCACCGCAAAAGCCACCAAATCTTTGAAGACCCGATGGCAAGGTCACCCGCTCCAGGCTTTGGTTGAAACCACGGCCAAAGCACAAGCTTTGAAGACTCGATGGCAAGGTCACCCGCTCCAGGCTTTGGTTGAACTGATCGCCAAAACTCAAGCTTTGAAGAAACGATGGCAAGGTCACCCGCTCCAGGCTTTGGTTGAAGCGATGGCTAAAACTCAGGCTCTGAAGGCTCGATGGCAAGGTCACCCGCTCAAGGCTTTGGTTGAACCAAACGCCAAAACTCAAGCTTTGAAGACTCGATGGCAAGGTCACCCGCTCAAGGCTTTGGTTGAACTGATCGCTAAAACTCAAGCTTTGAAGACTCAATGGCAAGGTCACCCGCTCAAGGCTTTGGTTGAAATGAATGCCAAAACTCAAGCTTTGAAGACTCGATGGCAAGGTCACCCGCTCCAGGCTTTGGTTGAACCAAACGCCAAAACTCAAGCGTTGAAGACTTGATGGCAAGGTCACCCGCTCCAGGCTTTGGTTGAACTGATCGCCAAAACTCAAGCTTTGAAGACTTGATGGCAAGGTCACCCGCTCCAGGCTTTCGTTGAACCAAACGCCAAAACTCAAGCGTTGAAGACTTGATGGCAAGGTCACCCGCTCCAGGCTTTGGTCAAAGTCAGCGCCAAAACTGAACCTTTGAAGACTTGATGGCAAGGTCACCCGCTCCAGGCTTTGGTTGAAACGATCGCCAAAACTCAAGCTTTGAAGACTCGATGGCAAGGTCACGCTCTCCAGGCTTTGGTTGAAACTCTTGCCAAAAGTCAGGCTTGCAAGGCTGCAGGGGAGATGGTGTAAATATTCTCCGTGCGTTGCTCCTTCAAGATGTGTAACACCTTCTAGCGCAAACTCTCTCTCACAATTTGGGAGCTCACAGGCATAACGCCATGCTGTATACACATCAGTTGGTATGTAAGTGCAGGAGAGCATTGCACATTCTCCAACAATCCCCTGGTCTTCCAAGTTTTTATTCAGCGTCAGCTTTCCATTCACATGATGCACGACGAGCTTTGCGCCTGGCTTGCATGAAAGCTTCTCTGACACCAACCTGCGCAGGTCAGACCCAAGCATGGAGCGACTCACGGTCAGTGGCACTGCTTCCCCATTCAAGCACAGCACCTGAAGCTTGATCTTATCAATTTCATCTACCGCACCTTTGTCAGCAAATGATGGATCCACATAGCCATGCTGTGCACCGGACATTCTTCAAAATTTACACACACACAGACACCACTACGAGTTTAGCCGAAAGGTCCGCACCACTCAAATATAAAACCATAAAGAACCGATATTTTTGGCCATTTCTAAGTGCCGCAAAACGCATTCCAATGCCATTTTTAGGGTTTCATGTTAGTTTTCAGGGCCGCTGCGTGATGGGGTGCAATCCATTTCGGGCCTGCCTTAGTCACAGCAAATTGTAAAGGTTCATCGGCTCCAAGAATGAGGTACCCCATACTTCACTGGTTTCGAAAATCATTTATCCTATTGAAGCGGTCAAAAATGAGATACAGTAGATACCTTCTTGTAAACGTTTACAGTTTGCTATTGAACATGACCATAGAAAATTCGTTGATTTACCCTTGAAACATGGTGATTTTCCATAGATTCCATAGTTACCAGTAGTACCGCACAAGGCGGTGGCGGAAGTTTCAGAATAGGAAACCTATAGGAGACGTTGGTTGTTGTGAATCACGGATGGCAGAGCGAATCCACTGATTGACCGAAAGGTGGTTGGAGTTGTGTTTGCTGGAGTGGTTGCAATGGTTGTAGTGGTCACCTACCTCACCCACAACTGCTGGATGTAGTGTGATGTACTGCAACTGTAGTTGTAGTTGTAGCGTAGTGGAGTTGTAGTTGTGGTGTAATATAATTAGTGTAGTGTAGTTGCAGTCATATAGTTGTAGCTGTAGGTGTTTTGTAGTTGTAGTTGTAGTAGTTGTTGTTGTAGTTGTTGTTGTTGTAGTTGTAGCTGTAGTTGTTGTGTGGTTGTAGTTGTTGTGAGCCCAAGAACACAATTGTACGATATGAGAATATATAAGATGTAAACCATGGTAAACCCAATGCCTTCTCGTCATTATCCCTGTAAGATTCCGATCATAATTCCAGAGTGATTTTGGGTTTACCTCGTCTCCCAACCTGGGAGCTGCTGATCGCTCCACCCATTTGAAAACACGTTGAATCTGCTGTGTGGTTGGGCCGCCCCCCTGAAAAATATCGATCAAGTATAATACCATCATCATGTAATCATAATCAAATTTAGTTGAAAAATGTTTAAAAGTTCAATCATATCCCCGAAACCGTCAACCAGAATCTTCTTTTACAACTTACCGGTTGTTGCGGTCAATTCATGCACAGAAAAAAAGATCTTTATCCATTTGGGGCTTAAAACTTGAAATGGCAGATCCCTGGTCGTTACCATAGCGACAAGTCATGGTCATCTATGACGACTGGGAACCCCCCATTGCTTCGTCCCGAAGCCGCCAGCGGCTCCTCTTCAATGGACAGGCACAGTAGGGTGCGCCGCTCCCCAACATCCTCGCGGTGGCGCCGAGCGGAATCTCGATGAAAGATGGCTGGGTAAATTGAAAGATGGCGCAATGCCCCCAAGTTATACAAAATAAAATCCTATGAAATCTATGAAACTAGTACTAATATTCACCAACCCAGTATTAATTCAGCCATCTGTTGGGTTTTTTTACCACGAAGCATCTGTTAGTTCCTTTTCGCCATGGAGACACCGTTACGTCATTTACCCAGAAAGATGGGTCATCTCTTTATGAAAGGCATTTAACCAACACCAACACGTCTATGTTCCATGATGGAAAGTGAGAAAACTGTTTTTAGATGTCAGGAATTAAAGTCCTATAAATCGAAAAAAATACAGCAAACCGTGGTTTTTCGGAGATGCCGGGAAGTCATTCATCTCCAGTTCTGAGACAGAACTGGGGTCTCCCACACCACCTTTTTTGGGATATGCTCGTCCCGGTATCCTCAATGGGAATCCTCAGCTAGATGATCTCCTATGAATTGCCATTGATGACCATCCAACATGGTAAAATATGGAAAAATATGGTAAAAATCAGCCAGAAAAGCCACAAACATGGCATTTCAACCATGGCACTTCAATGGTTCTTACTGGCTTAGGGCAAGCTACCCATGGCTCCAAGGATGAGGAAGTCCACGACCGAAACCACCAGGTCGAAAATCATTGGTTAATACTATACCCATTATATCTCGATTAATGTGGGTAAAACAATCATAAACCATCATTCATTGTGATTAATGGTTTATGGTGATGTGGGTAATTTGGGTGATTAATGATTTATACCACCAAATCACCATTTTCATAGGTGGTATGGTTACCATTTCAAGTCATGGGTGCTTTATGACATTGTTTTACCCGCATTATATCCCAATGAATGATATCCCCTTTAGATCCCATTTTTGATGCCCAGTATATCTCCATAGTAGTTGCTGAAAAATCCATGGGGGTTGTCCAATTTCTCCTTGCATCCCCAAGTCATATCATGGGTTTTTTCCAATGAACAGTCCACAGTACAGCCGGACTGCTACTTTTGAGGTTGTAGGATGTGCAAGATCCAAGCAAGACATTGCAGTATCGCGAAAGGAAAAAAGGGTTTTTATTCCCATGGATTTTGATATTCCAATGATATCCCCATGATTTTCCGGAAAAAAAAACTTATGATCGGGAGATGATTAAAATAAAACTTGTCCATTGGGACAATTTACCCCAATCGTGGTATAACGCTTAAACTTCTTTTTAAAAAAACTGATTGCATTATCCAAAGCATGGGTACAGGATGGGGCCCCCAAGATAGCGTTCAGTTGCCTGACAAGTGGTTTAACTATAGTCTATGGTAGATATAACTATTGTTAATGGGGTTTATAAACCAACTTATAACTGGGGGGCACCATCCTGTATTACATATATATATACACACCCTCTGGTAATTTAACATAGTTTTTGAAATAGTGGATTTACCCATTGAAAATGGGTGGATCTTTCCATAGTTATGTTAGCTGACCAAAGGGTAATTGAATTGTAGTAGGTAAACCAACCATTTTCCATAGCTATGGATTTAATATCTTGGTAAAATGTATATATACCAATTGGTTGGAAAATTTCCCTATATATATATACTATATATATATATACCAACCATTTTGGTAATTTCCATAGCTATTTTCCATTGATATATGTTCCATAGCTATATCTATATACCAATCATTTCCCGATCATCTCCCAGTCATAGACCTCCAACAAAAGTTGGAAAACCTCTCCTCGAAGGACAGCGCATTGGGGTCGATGCCGTGCCTCGCTGGCTGGTTGCATCATGGGATGACAGCAAAATAATGGGCATAGAAACTCCTATGAATAAAAATGGTGTGTATATATATATATATATATGTATACACATGTATTTAGATAGTTAGATAGATAGATAGGTAGGTAGATAGATAGGTAGATAGATAGATAGGTAGATAGGTAGATAGGTAGATAGGTAGATAGGTAGATAGATAGATAGGTAGATAGGTAGATAGGTAGATAGGTAGATAGGTAGATAGGTAGATAGGTGGATAGGTAGATAGGTAGATAGATAGATAGATAGATAGATTAGGTAGATAGATAGGTTTCTATATATATATATAAATGTGTGTGTGTGATCATATATATATATATATATATGCATAATGTATATATGAACGGAGAATATGCAACTCGCTATTTTAGCAGCGGTGTTCTTGAGCCAAAGGTTGGCGTAGCAACTAGTGAGAACCCTATATCCCGTCACCCCTCCTGTACAGAGGCTGGGATTTTCCTAAGCTGATGTACACTCATTCCAAAGCCTTTGCAGCTTCGGCTCTACCATGAGAGTACTCGAACCCCATGCTTTGCATGTGTCTTTCCATCTCATTCGCAGGTAAACCTTTGGTGCACAAATCAGCTACGTTCTGCTTTGTCGGGATCTTCACCAGTTCGAATTCATGTAGTGCAAGCTTTTCTTGCACCCACAGAAAGCGAGTTTGAACATGCCGTGAGCGGCCTAAGCCCTGACGGTTACATGTTCCCAGCGCAGCGGATGAATCTGTGTGCACTTTAAGTTTTGGTTGTAGGCCCCATCCTCGCAAGATCTCCTGTAGCGACATTCCGATGGAAACTCCTCGAACGATCGAGTAGTATTCCGCTTCACCGGAACTCAAGCTGATCGTGCTCTGAAGAGTGCTCGAGGCCTTCACCGTGTGGCGGCCAAAGGTTGCCACAAGTCCACTTGTTGAGCGCCTTGTAAGAAGACACCCAGCGAAGTCGGAGTCCACGTACATGTGGATCGTGTCAGCAAACTTCTGGCGACCAAACTTCAAAAGTACACGTGGTTTCCCTTTCAGAAATCTCACCAAGCGTTTCAGATCCTGAAAGTCAGATTCTTTGGGCTCATGCATTCTTCTTGATAGGCATTTCACTGCCTCCGCGATGTCAGGTCTGTCCTGTGCCACATACGACGCTCTCATCACCAGAGACCGGAAGAAACTTACACGGTCCGGTGTGATGGTCGGGGTGGTCAACTTCAAGTTGGCCTCCGTGGCTGACATTTTCTCAGATGGTGTCTTGACTGGCTTACAGTTTTCCATTTCTAGATCTCGTACCATCTGGTCAACGTGGCGGGGATCCGCCTCATAGGATACAGAGCCTTCCTGCTCGTTGTAGGTCACGATTCGATTGAGCACTGCGAACTGCTGATGCCGTTCTCCAGGACCGATCGATCCATCGACCCGCAGATCATATTTGGACCTCAAGGTGTCCTCAAGGTATTTCTGTCCAGCATCATCAGCAAGCACCACGAAGTCATCTCCGTGTACAAGAACTCGAATACCACCGTAACCTTCATGGTAAAAGCAGGATGGCCAAGCTTGATTCTTGGCAAAACCAGCTCGGATGAGAAGTTCTGTATATGATCTTTGCCAGATCGCTGATGCATCGCGTGTTCCATACATGCTCTTAACGAGCTTGCCACAAAACCCTTCTTGTCGATCTCCTTCAGGTAACTGCACGAAGATATCACGCTCTGCCTCTCCATAGAAGTGAGCGCGTGATATGTCAAGAAGACGAACTTTCAGTGCATTGCCAGACTTGGATCGTCTCAAAGTCACCATAAGCGATAGAAGCAATTTCAGCGATTCCAAAGGCGGCATCGAACTGAAGGACGCATAGTCCGGAATGAAGTCAGCATTGCTGGCCCGTTTGATCTCTCTACAGACCAGACGTGACCTGTAGTTGGGGTGTGTTGCATCCCCTTTGTTTCTGTCAATCCATTTCATGGTGATGACCGGTTTTCCAGACTGTTGGGCTTCTGTGAGTGGAACTTTGATATAGATACCCTGTTTGTGTACCCATGCTAGTTCTTCTTGTCGAGCAGCTCTGACCTTGTCAACATCCAAGACAGCACCGGAGTGTGCGTCAAGCACTGGCTCCACGATGGTGTCATCGCTGTCGGGCAGCTGCTTCCAAAACTCCTCCTCTTCATTGATCACAGGTCCAGCATCGGGTACTGGGCCATGTGAAAGTGAGTGTAGTTCTCCATCACATTCCAGTTGGCGCCTAATGGCCTTGAGAATTGCGTGGACAAGCTTTGGTGGGTATTTCTGGGCAGCTCGGGCTCGTCCATCAACAAGATGTACATGGCGGTGCCAAACTTTGCCTTCTTTGTTTGAACAGCACCCTTGTAGGGTCTGTGCCAGGATTGGAGAGTTCGTGAGCCAGGTAGTTTCTTTCTTCACTGACCCTTCACCTTGGCCATCGGCGGCCTTCATTCCCCAACGGCACATTGGTCCAGTGACCTCATACACCCGTTCATCTGCCCTCAGTCTCTTCACAGCTCTCTCTTCCCACGAAGCGGCCCCTTTAGGGTGCTCATGGTAGAAGTACCTTCCAGCATTCATTTGATGCTCATACGCTGAAACTGCCGTGCGCAGATGTTTGCGACCATCTTTTAGTCTCTGCGCTCGAACTTCAGGTGAAACATTGCCCTTCGCATCCACAATGTTTTGCAGCTTCGAGAATGGCCCACAGGGAGGTGAGCCGCCGAGGAACTCTGGTTTCTCATAGTCAAGCAGTTGAAACAGATCACGAATGTGTTCATCTTTACTCAAGTCCCAGTGAGTTCCATCACCACGCTTTGTCTCCAAGTCAATCGAGAAGCCAGGTGCTAGCCCGACCACTTGGGCTTGTGCAGCCACACGCGGTGGAGAGAAGATCTCAGCAACCTTCCCTTTTGCGATCACATCTTTGAGCAAGGAACACAGATGTAGCATCTCCTGGTTTGTCTCAGGACTTGTTGGTGCAGCGGCAGCACCTTCCGGAACACCAGATGAAGCATCCGGTGCCGGTGGTCCGGCTGACCCTGAAGCCTGAGCTGAAGATTCATTGTAAAGATCTTCAACGTCGACTTGTGAACTCCTTTTCTCTCCTCGGGATTGTTCTTGTTTCTGCCTCTTTGGGCTTCCTTCTCTTTCTTGTTCTCTCTGTCTGAGTTCTCCACGAAAATCGGTGTCGACCAGTGGTTCACCAACAGCCTCACTTGCATCCATTTCCGCATCCAAAGGAACACGGTCTTGCAAGACTGGTTGTTCAACTTCCCCTCCTGGGACAACTGGTGGTGCAGCTTCACCACCTTCTGCCCCACCACCCTCAGGCGGTGCAGCCGCGCCTCTTGGGCGCCTGCCTTGTGCAACTCTCTCTCTCGCTCTTTTGATCCTTTCTTGACCTTCTGGAGTCTTGTCAAGTTCGATCTGGATTCTTTGTCTGCACTCAGCATTGTGAGCTCGGCTTGGCATCTCAAGTATTGCTGCTTCACATCCAGGACACAAAGGTGTGTGCCCATGCTTTTCCAAGTCATTCTTGGTGACATAGAGGTTCCTTGGGATCACTTCTTGCACTGCAGGCCTTTCACGAGGCGCTGCAACATCGGGAAGGGCGATCCTCAGTCCACCATGTTCTCGTTCTTGCAACCTCCAAGGAAGGCCACGTAGCGAGTCAAACTGATCATGTTTGAACTGATCGTCAGGTGGGCGTCGATGGATCGAGTTCCCCTTCATGATTCCACGTTCCGTCATGACAAAGACGTCTGAATTTCTGTTTCCAGTTCCAACGTACATCCCAATGGATACCCTTGGAGCAAGGTCATTTCTCTTGCCCCCACGATTGGCCCTCGGCCTATACAGGATGCTTTCACCGAACCTCACAAGCGGAATCCGCCATTTTCGTCCATAGGTCCGCTCAAAAGCGGTCTTTCCATCAGTACCTACTCGGTATCTCGTCAAGAGAAAGGCAGCATGCCGCGGGAGCCAAACCAAAAGTGGATGGCCCGGATCTACCTTCCTTTCCAGCTTGAACTCCAGGTCGCTGAGGAGAGCACGACATTGTCGTTTTATCTCTCGCACTCCCACTTCGATAAACCCATTGGCTTGATGGTCTTCTACTGGGGTTTCCACCAAGTGCACTTCGATGTGGGTCTTTATCTCCTTAACCTTCTGTTTAAGGGATACCAAGGAGGGTTCACCGTCAGACTTAAGGATTACCTTATTAAAACCAGCATCATCCAAAACTCCCCCAAGCCACGCGATTGCGAACGCATCCGCCCCTTTTCCCGGGAGAACGCTCGCCCAAAATCTCTTGGTCTTGTGGCACTTCACCACAATGCTCGGAAGGGTCGCCTCATCCGCAACCTGGTCCTGGTTCATATAGAAGTAGTCCAGGCTCAGCGTGGGCAACTGCGTTTCTGGCTCATCAAGTTCCTTAGGCACATGGCGATCAGCAGTCACACGTGCCCTTTTGCAGTGCAAGCACCAGCTCCGATGGACAACATGTCCAGTGCTTTCATGTTCGTCAACTTCAGCTTGGGATGGTTGATGTGGTTCTTTCTTCACAATGGCTTTCCTCTGTTCTTCACCGATTTCCAAATCAACTTCATCTTCAAAGGCATCTGCTCCGGCTGAAGCAGCTGGAACATCGCCTGAGGACCCTGCTCCGGCCGAAGCGGCTGAAACATCGCCTCCATCTTCCATGGCATCGGCTCCGGCTGAAACAGCTGGATCCTCGCCAACAGCGTTGATTTGTGGTCTTACTCCTCTTGAGGATGCCCCTGAAAAGGTGACACCCAATAGTCCAACACATAGATGCCTCGGCGATTGTGCACAATGGGCATTGAATCGCCATAATCTCGGATCAGATCTTTCATGGCCTTCGAATAGGCCCGTCCCGCAGGAGTGTTTCTTGGGATCAATCTCCCCGAAGATGGTCCAAGGGCGATGTGGTAGTTCTTGGCGATCTCGGAACCTGAAAGAAGTGGCCGATGCACATCTGCAACTCGGCAATCGATTGGGATCTTGTTGCCAGATTCGTCGTATCCCACCAGCTTCACACTTCCCTGATCTTCGATGGGTTCCGCATTGGCTGCCTTGTAGCTTGCTCCATTGGACTCGCTCCTCGGGTAGTCCTTGGCGAAGTCAAGTGGTACTGCAGTGATGGCAGCACCGGTGTCGATGTTCAACTCTGCTCGTTCCCATTTTCGCCAGTCGTCAGAGGCCCCCAAGCTGTAGACTGCAGCAGGAGCCGATCCAGCTCCACCATCGGGGTCTCCTCTGCCTGGTCGGTCTCGAGGCTCATCAGGCTCTTCGATGTAGACCTCTTCCATTTCATCATCATCTTCATCTGCGTTCACTTCAGTGTTTTCCTTCAGAACCAAGGCTGGTCGGTTCTTCCTCGCCATCTTGCGCGCCACATTGCGGTTGCGATTCTTCTTCACCCTGTACCCAACGCTTCGAACACGCTTGGTCATGGGTTTCTTCTTGGGATCCTTCCGCAGCAACTTGGCCTCGTCGTCCGGGAACTGCCTCAAAGTTTTCCGCTCTTCCGCTGAAAACTCTATCACTGTGCTCTGACCAGCTTTGCCCACAACCACCGTCTCGATGCCCGCATCCAAGTTGTCTTCATCCTCGATTCTCACTATGCCTTCTGGATTTTCTGGTTGTCAAAGCGTTCATGCCATTCTTTGTCAAGTCGAATCCTTTCAGCCGCACGTGCCTTGACTCCTCCTCGTCGGTGGACGATTGCACGTCTTCTCAAACGTTCATTTCTCCAGGCCACATTGTGTGCAACACCTTTGGCAATCTCGGCATGGTATCTCGAGTCGTGGAAAGAAGGATCGCTGATGTTCTGCTTTGTGATGTGCGGTGCCTTGACAGATCTAGTCCTCAAAGCCGCTAACATCGCATCTGCCTGGCCATCTCCTGAACCAGGATCTTCTTCTTGGACTTTGCGGATTTGTGAACTCAGCGCAGCCTTCAGCATCTGGACAAGTCGAGAACCTGAAGTCGAAGCTGCCGATGATGCCTTGACAGGTGGTGTGGCTTCACCTGAGAGCTTTGCCATCCCGGTGGTGGACATGGCGGAGTCTTGGGTGAAGCTACTTGGCTTTGCCATCCTGGTGGTGGTCCTGGTGGAGTCTTGGGCGAGGCTATCGGCTGTTGTGGAGGTGATGCAGGCCATGCTATAGGTGTCGGTGGTGTCTTTGGCAAAGGTGTAGAGCTACGAAGAAGTTCTTCTGGAGTCTGTGGCCCATGCCTCAACCTTCTCCTTGGTGGTGGTGTCATCGAAGTCATTCGAAAGCGTCGGAGTGCTGACTCCGGAGTGACTGGCCCTGATCTGCTTGCTTTGCCTCTCTTTGGTGCTGAGCTCTTTGGACTTCTGCCCCTCTTGGGTCTTCCCTGTGGCGTTCGAGGTGCCTTGGAAGACGCGGACTTGGATGTAGTGGTCTCGTGCTCGGTGACCTCCTCCAGTCGAAGCGACCGAAGGGGTCTTGAGCCACTCGATCCACTCGGTCCATCATAGTCGGGGTCGTCCCACTCTTCAGGCCATGACGCACGTGGGTGAGGCAAAGAAAACCACCTTCTGCGACTTGTCGAGGCTTCCGACTCCTCGGACTCGGGATCGACCTGGAAACTTTCGTCGTCATCCTCGTCATGTGGTGGCCCATCAACACCATAGAGCGTTAAACCATTTGCTGCTTGTTGACCATCGTCGCCATCAGCTGCGTCCCAGTCTTCTGCTTCTGGTTCACCTTGTTCGACATTGTTCACAGATTTGCCTCCTTTGGGCTTCTGCTTGTGCTTTCCGGGGCTGCCTTTGCCCTTGCCCTTGTCCTTATTCTGATTGCTGTTGCCTTTGCCACCCGTCCCCTTATGTTTGGGGCCTCCAGGTGCCCAGCAATCTGCCCGCAGATGTCCTGGGCGTCCGCAGTTGTGACATGTTCTCTTCTCAGCTGTTGCATTTCCCTTTCCAGGTTTTCCTCCAGCTCCCTTCTTGCCCTTACCTTTTCCCTTTGCATCTTTTCCAAAGCTTCCGACATCCATAGGATCGTCCCCACGGCCATGTGCGTCGTAGGGCTGGCTGTTCACCACCTTGATCTTGTTGCCGGTGGCATGTTCCACATAGGACTGGATCTCGGACAGCATGGACTCGAACGTCTTGAAGCGATCTCGATTGAGAACGAGATGACGCTCGAGCTCTGCCGGCACCAATCGTTCAATCACGTTGATCTTGATGTCTTCTGCCAACATCGTTCGGTTGCCAGATGCGTCTTTGCGACGTTCATAAAGTCTGATGCTGTCAAGAAGCTTCTCCAGGTTGGACGGCAAATCTTCCATCTTGAATCGAGCCGGTGACAAGATTGCATTGAGGAGAGCGCGTTTGCGACCACCAGTGGATGGGTCGTACCTCCGCGTGAGCTTTTTCCAGCTTTCGATGCCGCATTCCCCGGTGTTCAGCACGATGTCAAAGGGCTCACGCTCTGTCAGCATTAGCAGCGCGTCCCAAAGCTCGCGTCTCAATTCACTGATGTTCGACACCTGGTCAATGGCATCTGCTTGACTCCCAAAAGCCTTGTCGATGTCATCTGCAGTGATTGCATGATCGCAATCTTCGGCCCAAACCAGAATCTCACGAAGGTCTTTGCGAACACTTGCAAGATAGGAGGACGTCTTGATTTTCCATGACAAGAATCTTTCGGCTGTCCCATCAAACTTGTCGGGCTTGCCAAGGCCCTTGTTGTCGACCAACCGGACTTGTTCTTTCGATCTAAGGGCGTCCACAAGCTCCTTTTGTGACTGCACCAACTGTGCCAGTGCACTGCCAGGTCCAGCTGAAGCAGCCGAACCGGCACCAAAAGAAGCGACCTGTGCTGTCAGTTCAGCTTCTCGGCCTCTTAGTCGATTGACCTCGGTCTGTAGTTCCTGGAGCGACTGGAGGACCTGTGCCGCTTGTTGTTGGTCCATTGCTAAGACCCTGGAGCGTATCGCTCCGCTACCATGAACGGAGAATATGCAACTCGCTATTTTAGCAGCGGTGTTCTTGAGCCAAAGGTTGGCGTAGCAACTAGTGAGAACCCTATATCCCGTCAATATATTCATAATGTATATATTCATAATGTATATATTCATAATGTATATATTCATAATGTATATATTCATAATGTATATATTCATAATGTATATATTCATAAGGTATATATTCATAATGTATATATTCATAATGTATATATATATATTCATATATATATATATATATTCATATATATATATATATATTTATATATATATATTCATATATATATATATTCATATATATATATATATATTCATATATATATATTCATATATATATTCATATATATATATATTCATATTCATATATATATATATAATGACTATATAATACTAAATATATATATTCATGTATCTATGATTACATATATATATATAGTCATATATATATATACACACGTGCATTCATATATGTAAGATGCCGAAAAGTGGCAACCCCTGGGAAAGATCATCCTGAAAACATCCTGAAAACATTGTTCAGCATCTTTAGGGGTTGCTCAATATCTTGTATACTGTAAACTCATATGAAATTTCGCGGATGACGCACACTGATCCAATTTTCGATGCCGCGATTGACTGGTGCTTGGTGGATGCTGATCGACCCAGAAAAGTTCTATCCCAGCTGAAGCAATTCAACACACTGGAGACCCTCTGATCTCTGGTTATATCATAGCTATTGAAAATCACAACTTTATACTTGGGTAAATCATCATAGCAAAGAGGGTTGCATTTCATTAAATCGCATTAAGTCACCATAAACCCTAGGGAGTACCTATTTAAATTACCTTTTTAAGTAAAACATCACAAATCATCAATGTTTACACAGACATATTGGGGATCTATCAATCACCCCCAAAATGGTGTGGTTCCATTCGCAGGGCTTGCTACCGGCGTTGTGACGAACCCTTGGAAAAACAAAAAGGAATGTCATTCTAAGAAATGGTGATCCTAACAACCATAAATGCTAAAAATACCTATAATCTTACTTTGTCTACCTACCAAAAAAATCTACCCAAAATGTAGTGTATGTGTACTACAGCAGTTTTTTAGACAAATCATATCAAGTACCTTCTGGTAACCTAACATAGCTATTGAAAATGACCATAGTTGATTTACCTATTAAAAATGGTGATTTTCCATAACAAACTGTTAGTTGCCCAGAGGGTAAGTATTGGAATAGCCCTACAAACTGGGCTGGTTCCGTCACCATTTGGTCAAGGATCACACCCCACTTCGCGACCGTAGGTCTTTTCTTGGGGACACAGGAATCGGAAGTGGCTAATCATATGAAATAGCCCGGTTATATATGTACACACATATATATATATATGTATGCATGTATACGTGTGTGTATGTATATATATATATATATCCGTATATGTATGTATGTATACGTGTGTATATATATGTATATGTATATGCATATGTATATGTATATGTAAATTATATTATATGTATATGCAAAAATTATATGATATTATATTATATTATATATTATATTATATTATATCATATCATATTATATTTTAATATTAGATTATAATATTATAATATAATATTATATTATAATATTATAATATATTATTATATTATAATATTATAATATATTATTATATTATAATATTATAATATATTATTATATTATAATATTATATGATTTTATATTTTATATATATATACATATTTATGTGTGTTTTTGCATATATATATATATATCTGATTGCATATATATATATATATCTGTATATATATATATGCATTATAAAACATAGTTTTCCCTGGGTTCCACATCCGTTCCTTCCAAGGCACTTTAGTAGCTTTGCCAAAGACGGCCTTTGAGCTTGACTGCGGCTGGACGGGGCCGCGCCCGTAGCGGCCATGGCGGTGGGGAATTCTTTTCAAGTGGCCACTGATTAATAGTTTATATCAATTATAGTGGCCACTTGATATGGTATTAATAGTTGAAATTAATATTATTTGATTGGTATTAATAGTTGATATTAATATTTGATTGGCCATTCCCAATTATAGTTAGTTGATATTAAACAATATTAATATGCCCATACTTTGTTGGTTGCTCTTCATAATTTCTTCCATAACCACTGAGTGACGCGTTGCTTCTTAGGCACTTCGAGGATTTTACAAAGAGACCTGAGAAAATGCTGCCATCCAGCTGCTTAACTTCTCACAGCTGTGCATGGCCAAAGCTTGAGATCTGGAACTTGAAACCTCAGGAAATCAAGCAACAATCAGTAAGGTCCAAAAAAAGGTGTGATTTTCTCTTTAAGTTGATTGATATACTCTCTGAATGGATCTGAGTGTAATACATCAACAACTCAATAGATGTCAACATCTTGTAACTTTCTCCTCCAAGGCCCCTCGTTGATGTTTCAAGGGCCGTGCTGCAGGCCGGCGATGGCAGGTGGGTGGCATAGCTGGCATAGCTGGCACCATGTACCAATGGGCTACCCCCCAAAATAGCATCAATTATGTAGCCATTGTTAGCCATTGGTCAATGTTTATCTACTTATGTAGCCATTGTTAGCCATATTATGGATCAATTTATAGCATCTACTTGTCGATTTCCCTCCATCTTTTTAAAGGCAACCATTTTCTGCCATGGTCAAGACATGGTATGTCTGGGGCTATGTCATCCATCCCATAGGACAAAATTACCCTCTGGTAATTTAACGTAGCTATTGAAAATGGCCATTAATAGTGGATTTTCCCATTAAAAATGGTGATTTTCCATAGCTATGTTAGTTTACCAGATGGTAGTATATAAATCCCCACGAATGGATGACTATCCCCCATGGGTACATCATCCATCTTTTCACCATGCCACATATGAAAAATAAACTGGTTGATGGTTGAGCCATCCCTCTGAAAAATCATGGACTGAAAGTCAGGATGATTACTCCCAACCGAATGGAATAAAAAATGTCCCAAACCACCAACCAGTACAATGGTCACTGCTACAGCTTAGACGACCCCATGGACCTGCAGATCGCAGCGACACGGCTTGTTTCTGGATGTAGCCACGAGGAAATGCATCTATGGCTAGGGTTCCGTGCGATCATGGCTGTTTTTGGCCATAAAACCATCCCCAAAATAGCAAATCAATTGGGTGATACCTTTACCATCCCCCTTTTTTGGTAGAGCAAGTCTATTATTGGCTTTACCACTCGACTCCGACATGCACTTGTGGCCCACTTTTGGTCCCAGCTGTTTTCCGATGGCGCGAAACTGGCGCTTGCCGACGCGAAACTGGCACTGATTTGACATGGAAAGGTCGGGCTGCAGTCGAAGAATCATGAAATGTCCACTCGAGAAACTGGTTCATTGGTTTGGTCAGCCAAATGATTTCACACTTCGTCAAGTTGGACAGTCCACTCTAACAATGCCGAAAAATTGGAAGATGAAATACTGTAAGCCATCCTGGGGATGATTTCACACCAAGCACTGCAGTCATGTCCTATCCATGTCTTGTGAGCCCCGGCCCTTTGACGTCCAGGATGATTTGTTGGGACAACCTGCAAAATTGATGGAGATTTGTACCATCCAGTAATCAAACATGGCACTAGTAAATCCCCATCGATTACTGGCCGTTCGAAAATTTGTCAAATCATCGAAGAATTCATGGGGACTTTCCAGCCATGGTTGCCAGAGGGTTTTTCGATCAGTGATGGGAAGATGGGGGTACCTCAAAAAGAGAATGAACATATGTCAAAATACTACTGCAACAGGAATGACTCCACTATCATTTTGGAGAGTATCCTCATAAAGGTACCCAACATTGGCGAGGTGAGCAACAACCATTTGTGATGATTGTGATGACAGCAATTTCAAAAGGTGGCTTAAACGTAAGGAATGTGACCAGTCAACAAAGGGGCGCAATCTGGCTGAAACTGAAAACAGGCAGATAGCCTGTGCCAAACTGAAAGCTGTTTCGTCATCCCGACTCGAATCTGATCTCTTGACTCACCATGAGCTTCACCAACTGTTTCGAATGTTCATTTTCAGTCATCATAGAAACAACATGTTTTTAATCAGATCCAACCTCATCAAAATCTATTCATCCAAATAATCCAAATATTTGAAACAAAAAATGTCTTTCCATTTCTGTCGTTTGCTTTCGTGGTTCCTGGGTTCCGTGCTCATCGTGCTCCAGGACGCAAAAGGCTGCGGAGCGGTCTAGTTGTTTTTGTTCGGGTCTGGTGCCCAGAAATCACAAGTCGTCCATCTTTCAGACAGTACTTGTGACCCCAAAAAACTCGGTAGGCACTGCCATGCACTGAATTGGTCTCTAACCCTATCTGTTTACTGAGAAAATGTTGAATGTGCTATAGCAGCTATATACTGTATATAGTCATCGTCATTTTTTTATGTGTGTGTTTATATACGCATATAACATGTAATCCACTTCCACCCAAAAACTAAATGCACCCCGTATCAAGCCCAAAACGAATCGATCCAGTACTAGATTCGACCTGCGAATCCCCAGGTCGATTTTGGCCAAAGGAAACCATCGCTTTTTGTCGAAGTGTGACAAATCAACCCAATGCTACATGTGACTGCTACCAGTCATGTTTACATAATATAATACAATCATATATATATATATTATAATATATATATATGATATATACATACATACATACATACATACATACATACATACATACATACATACATACATACATACATACATACATACATACATACATACATACATACATACACATACATACATACATACATACATACATACATACATACATACATACATACATACATACATACATACATACCCACATACATACATACATACATACATACATACATACATACATACATACATACATACATACATACATACATACATACATACA